ATGTGAACTGCTGTATGGAAAGTGAATTTTCTCTGTAAATCTTCACCCAAATCACAATAATAATAATAATAAAAGATCAAATTTATAAAGATACTGATAATAAAAGACAATAATAATGAAAACTAAAAGAAAATGAGGTATTCGAATCACATCAGAATTGATTCACAATGGAGTCATCGGAACAGAACCCTGTCATAAGTCGGGCCTGCCTATACAGCTATTTATCTGTCTGTTATCATATTACATGATCTGTTTCTATTACATGATCTGTTTCTCTCAGTAGTAAGACACTGAGAACAGAAGCCACTTCTTTCTTGTATCCCCAGCATTTAGAATAGTGCCCGGCACTGGGTAAACCTTCAGTAGAATGAATAGTAGATAAAGGAACTAATCAATCAATGTCTGGGCACCAACTTCCTTCATCAAGTCAAGACTTTTAGTAACATTTATTGAATAAATGAGGAAATGCAGGAGAAGTATATAGGTGGCCTTAGGGGCCTTGTGGTAGGAATCATGGCATATTCTCTGGGTTCTGGGAGATAATTCACCTCGACCTGCAATCTCTATCCATTCCTATCCCACCTGACCCAATTCAATTCCCTCTGGCCTTCAACTGCTCATAACTAAACTCAATCGACAATGTCTATCAATTGATGAATAGATTTTTTTAAATGTGGTACACCCATACAATGGGCTATTATTCAGCCATGAAAAGGAACGAAGTACTGATATATGCTACAATATGAACCTCAAAAACATTGTGTTGAGTGAAAACAGTCAGACACAAAAGGGCAAATATTGTATGATTCCATTTATATGAAGTCTCCAGAACAGGCAGATCCAGAGACCAGAAGGTAGATTAGTAGTTTTCTATGGCAAAGATAGGAGCTCTGGTAGCTAGTGCCTGAGGCATTTGACTGCGAACCAGAGGCTGACAGTTCAAATCCACCAGCCACTCCTCAGAAGGAAGGTTGGGCAATCTACTCCCACAGTGATACCACCTCGGAAACCCAAGAAGTAGTCTCTATGAATCAAATCCAACTCCACGGCAGTGTTGTTTTTTTTTTTTTTTTTTTTATGGCAAAGATAAGAGCTCTGGTAGTATAGTGCCTAAGGTATTTGACTGCTAACTAGAGGGTTGCCAGTTCAAACCCACCAGCCACTCCTCAGAAGGAAGACTGGGTAATCTACTTCCATAGAAATACTGCCTCAGAAACCCGAGGAGGGGTTGCTATGAGTTGGATTCAACTTGATGGCAGTGAGTCATGGCAAAGATGTCACTTTCAGGCCTAAGGGGCACCTAACCTAAGCCATAGTGTTTTCAATAGACTCATATGCTTGTGGAAGCGCGACAATGAATAAGGAAGACTCAAGAATTGAAGTATTTGAATTACAGCGTTGGCAAAAAACATTGACTACACCATGGATTACCGAAGAACAAGCAAATCTGTCTTGGAAGAAGTATAGCCAGAATGTTCCTTAGAAGTGAGGACGGTAAGACTTCATCTCATGTCCTTTGGAAATGTTATCGGGGGAACCAGTCCCTGGGCAAGGAAATCATAGTTAGTGAACTAGAGTGTCAATGAAAAAGAGGAAGACCTCCAAAGAGATGGATTGACACAGTGGCTGCAATGATGGGCTCAAACACAGCAATGATTGTAGGATGGTGCAGGAACAGGTAGCATTTTGTTCTGTTGTACACATGGTGGCTATCTATGAGTCAGAACTGACTTGACAGCACCTAACAACATCATAGCTGGGGTGAGGTCTCTGGGTGGTGCAAATGTTTTGTGCTCAACTCCTAAAGGCTGGTAGTTTGGAACCACTCACCTGTGCCACCAGAGAAAGGCCTGACAATTTTCATCTGATCACAGCAACTCTACTCTGTAACACATGGGGTCATCATGAGTTAGAACCAACAGTTCCAGAGTGGAGTGGGAGACAGGGGTAGTAGAACAGAGAATGACTGCTAATGGGCATAGGGCTTCTTTCTGGAATGATGAAAATGTCTTAAAATGTATTTAGATTAGATAATGGTTGGATACATCTGTGAATATACTAAAAACAACGTTGAATTGTACACTGTACATAGGTGAACTGCATAGTATATAAATGGATCCTGATAGAATAAGGGAAGCTCTGGTGGCACAGTGCCTAAGGCATTTGACTGCTAACCAGAAGGCTGGTGGTTCAAACCCACCAGCCACTCGTTGGAAGGAAGGTTGGCCAATCTACTTCCACAGTGATACTGCCTCAGAAACCCAAGGTGGGGTAGCTATGAGTCAGATCCGACTTGACGGCAGTGAGTTCAGTTTGTTTTGGTTTGATAGAATAAGAGAAAAATGTGGACCAGAACCTCAAATTCTTAAAAATCCCAGACTTACTGCTCTAGCCGAGACTGGAGGAATCCCCAAGACTATTGCCCTTAGATACTCTTTATACCTTGAACCGAAACTAGCCTGAGGTCACATTTTAGCTAAATAACATATTGGCTCACAAAATAAAGAATACCACCATGGGTACTGTGCTCCTTTTTTTTTTTTTTAATCATCTATATAAGACCAAATGGTCAACAATTACTGTAAAATAAAGATGACAAGGTAAGGGGGGAAGGGAAACTAAATGAACAGAAACAGAACAACCAGAATGGAAATAATGAGCATGTTCACACAGTGTGAAGAATACAACCAATGTCACTGAACAATTTGTGTAGATATTGTTGAATGGGATCCTAATTACTATGTAAACCTTCACTGAAAACACAATATTATTTAAAAAACAACTCAATAAGACATTCAAATTCCATTTCAAGTCACCTCAAACCCAGCTGTCATCACAACTGATCCTATCTTGGATTCACCAAGATGTCAATCCCCTACTTACAGCACCCCTACTTACCTCTATTTAGTTCATCCCACTTCTCAAATCAACCCTAATGCAATTCAACTCAGTGTTGTTATGTGCCGTCGAGTCGGACCCGACTCATAGCGACCGTTCCTTGGGTTTCTGAGGCAGTATCACTACGGAAGTTGATTGCCCCATCTTCCTTCCGAGGAGTGGCTGGTGGGTTTGAACTGCCAGGCTTCTGGTTAGCAGTCGAGTGCTTTAGGCATTACGGTACCAGAGCTCCCTTCAATTGGATATTCAACTCAATATCCAATTCCAAATTCTTATTTCAACCCATCCATTGTCCAGTCTCCAACTCAGCTGATCCTATCATTAATCCACAATCCCGAATTTACTTAACTTGGGTCAAAAATTTCCAACTATCTTATCTCCAACTCATTTTCAACTTAACTCACCTAACCTCCAACTCATCCCAAGCATCAACTCCTAACTTAATTCACTCCATTCTGAACTTACCTCCTAACTTGCTACCCAGATCTTTGACCCCCCTAGTCATTCACCTCAAACCATAACCATGTCCCATGCCACCACTTGATCCATCCCCTTGCCCAGGCAGAAACCCTAGGACCAATCAAAGTTATCATGGAAAGCTGGCTAGTTTCAATTTTTCCTCCAGGAGGCCCAGGTTATAAACAGGCCCACCACCTCCAATGAGTCCCATTATACTTGATGCCCCAAAGCCACCTCCACCAAAGGACACACCTAATCAGTTGAGACAAGTGGTGGGAGGTACCTCAGGTGAGACAAGAGTCAGACCCTAGGAGAACTATGTCATTACCAGATGAAAGACAAGCAGGCAGAGACAGGGACACAGTTCACTGGTTTATTCTCAGACTTGAGATGGCAATTATGCCCTATGGCCTGGGGCAGAGGGGTGCTGGAATTTTCTCATCATATCCCAGCCCTCCCTAAGGGGGAAGCAGATTAAATATACAACAGAGGGGATTTTCCCTTTTAAAACAAACCCAGGTATAAATAGGGCAGCACCATTAGGATCCTGATTCATCTCCACCATCTTGGTCCCCATACCACCTGGCATGGCAAGGTGAGCTTGGGGAGATAGGGGAGTATCCAGAGCTAGGCTGGGGCAGTGGAAGGAGCCCCAGCTCAGCCAAGAGAAGTCCCACTTCCCTCTATAGTCTGACTTCAGTCCCTTTACTGCAGACCCACCTGGGTATAGAAATGAGCAAAGGGGTCTCAGCCTTGGGGAATGGGACCAGGAGATGTCCAGTGCTTAACTATGGGGAAGGGTAGCACCAAAAGGTGTTGAGGGTACTGACTGAGGAGTGGGGAGGCAGGCATGGGGGGCATTCATCAGCTCTGAGTTAGAAGTTCATTGCATGGGGGCTCAGGGGTAGGGAGTCAAATGCTGTGTTGGGGTTGTGGGGAAAAAGAACCAGACTACAGTCATGCCACCTGGGAGGTGGAAAGGCTGACCCTTGGGCCAGGGACCCCAGTCCCCAGACCCCTGGAAGGGAGAAGAAATATTTTTCAACCATGTCAAGCAGATCTTCTCCTGGTTCCGCAGTCACAGGAGATGATAAATATGGTGGCTTCGAAGCCTCAGCACCAAATGTGCCCCTTCTGGGGCTCCCTCACTGTCCCTTCCATTCCCCAAACTCTCAACTGCTAAAGCAGACAGGGCCCAGCTCAAACCCAAACTTCTGGTTTGTCTGGCCAAAGTCAGTAGCCGCCACATCCCACAGGGGCAGAAAACCCACTCGAGAAGAGCTGAACTCCAAGAGGGTCTTTGCCTGTCCTTTCCGGAGCTGTCCATGGGAAGACACGGATGGTTAGTTAGGGGGGGCAGCTAAGGCTTCCCCTCCCCACTTGGGCCAGCCAGCCCCACCTTCCCTCTTACCCGGCAACCATCATAAGGGATACTGATGATGGCTGCTTCCGTGTGATTGAAGGACAGCTCTTCCCCATTGGTCCCCAGGAAGCGGAGGGAGCGGCCATGGTCACCAGTGGCTTCATCTAGCCAGGCAGCTGAGTTCTGGCAGGAGTAGGTGAAGCTCTGGTGGGCCGTGGCACTTAGCAACTTCAGGAAGGTCAGCTGTACCACACTCACTGGGGACCCATCAGCATCCACATAGGAGAACTGAAGGTGAGACAAAGCAGGGGGTTGGGGTGTTCCATTAGCCCCTACTCATCTCTCTCCATCCACTGGCAGACCTGCCACCTCTCCCATGTTCCCATCTTGGAGCAACCCCACCAGCTGCTCAGTCATTCAAGGCAGAATCCTGAGTAGTCTCTTTCACATCTTCTCTGCCCCCTCCTCATCCAGTAGATCCCCATACCTGGCCCATTTGACCACTCAAATCTTGGTGTCTTGGTCTACCATCTCCAGAGTGTCTTTAACATTCTCATCTATTCACACAACTCACAAATCACTCACTTGTAGACCCCAGACTTGAAGAGCTAACCATTTCCTGGATACTCTATATTCACTGTGTCCAATATGGTAGCCACCAGTCACTCATGGCTACTGAGCACTTGAAATGCGGCCAGAGTGACTGAGGAACTGAGCATTTTTTACTTTATTTAATTTATAAGTAATAACTGAGCCTTAAGCCAGTTATCAACTTGGAACAACTTGTGTATGTGAGTCTACTTCTCCAACTGTAGATTTTATGAAATCTAAAAAGAGTTCAAGTATTCCCAACAAAATTTAGCATCTGAGCTGAGATATGCTATAAATATAAAATATACAGCCGATTTTGAAGAACTGGTATAAAAAAATAAAGTAAAATATCAGTGGACCTTTATGATGGTTACATATTGAGACAATATTTTGGTTTAATGGGTTAAATATATTATTAAAATATAACTGGCCTGAGATAACTGGCTTGGTAATACATCCTTTTGGCTTCCTTCTCTTCCCTGTATCATTTCCACATTCCTCAACTGGGGTTATCTGGAATTGCCTTCCAGATAAACTACTTGCAATCGAGTTTTTTTTCTCACAATCTGCTTTGGAGAAATTCAGACCAAGACACTTCCTCACATAATAAACCAAAACAACCAAACTCACTGCCAGCCAGCCAAGTCCAACTCATAGTGACTCTATAGGACAGAGTAGGACTGCCCTGGGGCTATGTGTCTGTATGGAAGCAGACTGCCTCATCTTTCTCCTGCAAAGTAGCTGGTGGGTTTGAACCACTGAGCTTTTGGCTGCTAACCAAAACCATGGATCTTTTGGTTAGCAGCCAAATGCTTTAAGCACTGCACCACCAGAGCGCCTCCTCACATAATGTTGTTGTTGTTGTTATGTGCTGTTGAGACAGACCTGACTCAGAGTGACCCCTCCTTGGGTTTCCCAGGTGGTATCACTACAGAAGTAGATTGCCCAACCTTCCTTCCAAGGAGTGGTTGGTGAGTTTGAACCACCAGCCTCTGGTTAGCAGTCAAGTAAGTGTCTTAGGCACTAGGCCACCAGAGCTCCTCCTCACATAATAGCATACCTTTATTTGTTTTCTGGGAATTGTTGGTCTCTCCTAAAGCTCTGCTGTTTAGCATATAAATAAATGCTAAATACATGACACTCAAACTGAACCCAACATTCCCTTGACCCTCAGATTTGCTCTTCCTCTCATTTCCACATCTCAGAGAGCATTTCCAGACACCAGTCACGTAAGGCAGAAACCTGAGCATCATCTCCAACTCCTCCCTCACTTCCACCTAATCAATTACAAGTCCTGTTGACTTGCCCTCCTAGATACTACTCCAAGCCATGCCTTCCTCTCCATCCCAGAATCTCCAACCTTGGCCCAGAGTCCCTCCTCACTCTCCTGGACCAAGACATCAGTGTCCTTCTGGGTCTCAAGGCCCCTAATCCATTCCCCACACTCACTCCAGAAGGATATTTCTAACAGAGATTTGACCTGGATCAAATCCGCTCCCCACTCCCCACAAGTCTTTCATGGCCTGACCCTCATCCACAACCCTCTTCATACTCTCATGGGCATAATGAGGGGCTTCTTCTTCAAATTCATCAACGCCTCTTGATGCTGGGCCTTTGCATATGCTGTTCCCTCTACCTGGAACACTTTTCCTTGCCCTCCTTAACTTGCTAATTGAAATCCTCCAACAGAAGACCTTCAGGTACTTCCAGAGCTGCCTCTCAATTTTCACCATACCCTGTGCTCCCTCCATCACAGGACGAACACTCTGAATGACAACCGGCTATTACCCATCTGATGCCCACCCCACAGCCTGCGATCTCCAAGAAGGTAGGGGCCAGTCTGTTCTGTTCACATTGACCCTCAGAACCCCTCACCCAACTCCCATGCTGGTTCCCACTAATTTTCATAGTCCCCTACCTTGGCCTCCTGTGACTCACCTTCTTCCCTCGACGGAATGTGCTATACCAGTCTCCTGGCTTTTCCTTGGACCAGGAGGCCAGTTTCACCTGGGGAAGGGGGAGGGGGAGGCCACTGGAGCAGGTCCCCTTGGCACCCAGCTCAGTGCTCCCTGATGACGAACCCCGGGAGTTCTGGTGGACCATGTGGTGTCACCTCCCAGTCTGGAGGACAAGTGGGGCTTATAAGACAGCAAGTCAGGGGCAGGGACTTGGAGCCAGACTGCCATGGACAATCTCTGTGGCTCAGTGTTCTCTGGGGGATGATGATGTTGTTGTTGTTACATGTCATTGAGTCAGACCTGACTGATAGCAACCCCTCGTTGGGTTTCTGAGGCAGTATCACTTTGGAAGTAGATTGCCCAACCTTCCTTCTGAGGAGTGGCTGGTGGGTTTGAACTGCCAGCCTTCTGGTTAGCAGTCAAGTGCTTTAGGCACTATGCTACCAGAGCTTCTGGAGGATGATGATAGACCCAGCATCATCAGGTGGTTGGGGCTCAATTAGTTAATTCAGCAAAGTGCCTTAGAACAGGCCTGGCACATAGTAGCACTAGCTGAGCGTTGCCCAGCATGACTGATTTCTTTACTGTTGTTATGTGCCATCAAGTCTTTGCTAGATTTTTTTTTTTTTTTTGGTCTGTCTTTTCCACAGAAAGTGAGAGCAGGAAAAGAGAAATTTTGTCTTTTATTCTGTGCTGTAACCAGGGGAACTCTGGTGACATAGTGCCTAAGGCATTTGACTGCTAACCAGAAGGCTGGCAGTTCAAACCTACCAGCCACTCCTAGGAAGGAAGAGTGGCGAATCAATGGCAGTGAGGTTTTTTTTTTTTTTTTGGCTGTATCCAGTGTTTCTGATAGCTCCTGGCATACAGTAGGTGCTCAATAAATGTTGGCTAGAGGAAGAATAAGATTCTAGACCCACTAAGCTAAGGAGATGCACCCTTTAGATCTACAGCCATGAGACACCAGAGGGGCAGCATTCACAGAGAGGGAAAGCCCGACAGACAGGCCAGGCGTGCATAGATAAGAGGGGCACAGGCAGGGGGAGTCACAGGGAAGGGAGGGGAGGAGAGTTTTTTATGCTTGGGGAGGGTAATCGGGCTGTGAAATCAAATGTGCAGTGAACTGTTGAGAGTAAAACAAATCGGCTTTGTAAATTTGCACCCAAATCACAATTTAAAAAAGAAAACGCCTAAGGGCTATATAGTCTCAGGGGTTCCACCAAGAAAAAAAAAAAAAAAAGGCTGTGTAGGTGGGGGAGTGTAGGGGGGAGCCCTTCCTGGAGGAAGGGAGAAGGTGGTTCCAGGACAGCTGTTTCCCCCACCCCACCCTAACCCTCATCCCTGGGACCTCCAGGTCCTCGCTCCGCCCACCCCAGAGGCACTCACGGTCTCAAACTTCTTGTCCGGGTAGAGGCAGGTCTCTCCACCCGCGGTGAAGTTGCAGAAAACCCTGAGCGCGTCCCTGGCGCAGCCCTGGTTAGGGTCAATCCAGTATTCCCCTGCCGCAGAGCCAGGTGGGGAGAGTGAGCGGGGATCGGCCCCCATGGCCCCTCGCCCACCCAGAGAGGGGCGGACCTCACCGTCTGGCAGGTGAGGGTGATTGCGGTGCAGCTGGCCGCAAACCAGGCCCGGGCTCTCCGCAGTTCCGGCCGGGTGCCGCAGCCGCTCCAGCTCGAAGCTCAGCGACGTGAGCGAGGCCAGCACCTCCTCCAGGCCGCCTGCCGAGGCCTCTTCCGGCGTCCCCAGGATTGGGACCGAGCGCCGGCGGCGGCGCAGCCCGTGCGGCTCCGCTGGGGGACCCTGGGGGTGGGGGTGGAGACGGAGGAGAGCAGGAGAACAGAGGTGGGGCAGGAAGAGACGGGAGAGACTCAGACCGAGGCAGAGACAAGAGAGACATATGGGGAGCAGGGCACACGGAGAAACAAGGTGGGGAGAGAAAACGAAGGAAGAGAGACAGAGAGGAGGGAGAGACAAGGCAGGAAGAGATAGAAAGGTAGACAGAGAGAGACACCCAGAAACAGAAAAAAAAAAGGAGTAAGACAATGAAAGAGACAGAGAGGAAGAGGGGAAAGAGACAGTGGAAAAAATATTGAGTATTGAGGCAGAGAGACAAAAGGCCAGGAGAGAAGGAAGAGAGGAGAAAAGAGAGACAGAGACCGGGTGAAGACAGTCAAGCAAGATAAAACTGAGGGCCTAACTTCAGTAGGCGGAAGGAAGGTTGGGCAATCTACTGCCCTAGTGATACTGCCTCGGAAACCCAAGGAGGGGTCTTTGTGAGTCGACTCTGACTCCACGGCACACAACTTCAGCAGGATTGTCCTGTCATCTGCCCCACCCCTCGCACAGCCCACATCCACCCTTGGCTTTGAATGTAAGACCCGCCCCACCTGCATACTCTGAGCACTGCTGTCTGCCCCACCCATGCTGGGCACTGAGGACCCCGTGGGACACTGCAGGCATAGTCCTGTCCTCCCCCTCCCAGGTCCTGGGGAACTCACCGGAGGCCCAGGAGGCCCTGGGGGGCCAGTGTCCCCTCGGGGACCAAGGGATCCCTGTAGAAAAAGGTCACTTGGGGGTGGCTCTGAGAAGACCTGGCCCCTTCCCACTACTACCAACATGCACACACAGCCTTGGGGAAGGACACACAATGTTCAGCATAAGCATAAGACACATACTTTCTATTCCTATTTTAACATCTCTAAAGTCAGCATGCATCTTAACATCTTTGGCAAGACAAAGTTTACTTGACAGAATTGTTTTCTTGGCCATTTATAAAATAATGATCCATCTTACAACGGACAGCATCTTGGATTTAATGAAATACAGTGGTAGGTGTTTGACAGATATGTGTTGACTACATGACTGAGTGCATAAATTAATGAATGCAGAGGCATTAAGGGTCCTAGTAGAGAGGAAGGAGCTGGGATGTGGTAGCCCAAGGGAGAATTGTGTACTCACCAGGGAGCCCTTTGATCCCTTCTGTCCCAGAGGGCCCTGTGGGGTAGAGACAGGGAGAGCTGGAGCCCTGCATTGGCTCTCTGTGGAAGACCCCACCCCACAAATTCCCCTTACTCACCGCCACACCGGGGGCCCCTGGGGGACCCAAGGAGCCAGCAGGACCCGGAAGACCCTGGAGAAGGGACATCAGGGTCAGCATTGATGAGGTTTAGCTCTATTGCCCAGACATCTCCCAGACAAGCCTCCAATCCCCCAAAAGAGAGACTTCCAACCACTTGATACAGCCTCTAACCCACAAGTCCCTGATACAGCCATCCATTTTCCCCAGATATCGCCACCATCATTCCAGACCCCCATCTCGCCACTCTGCTAGAACCAGGGGGTTCCCAAACCCCCACACCCACTGTCTCCACACAAGCCCACTCTCTACCTCACCACCAGCCCCTCCCCTGCCTTTGAACAAACTCTTAGAGAACACTGAGGACAGGATACACACTCACAGGGTCTCCATTGGGGCCAGGGGGGCCCTGAATGCCTGGAAATCCCTGATCCCCTTTCTCTCCAGCCTCTCCAGGAGGGCCGATGAGGCCAATTAATCCGATGTGGCCCTAGAGAACAAAACAGGCACATGTGGGGGAAGAAGGAGGGGTGCTGGGGGATTTTTATCCTAGAGCCCTGGGAGCAGAGGAGATCCCAATCTCTCAGCCCCTCTGGCCAAGAAGGGAGGTAAAGGCAGGAATAGGTGGGGAGAAGAAGAATGCCATGAGGAATCCCTACCTTTTCCCCCTTGATGCCAGCATCTCCCTTCAGTCCTGGAAGGCCAGAGGGGCCCTGGAAGGTGAGCAAGGATCAATCAGTGATTCCCAAATGCAAACTCTCAAGGTCCATGTGGGTGATTAGGGGATGGAATTACTAGGGATATGGTCATGGGGATGGTCAGGAGAGAGGAGGGAGTTGATAAGGGATAATGATCAGTGTAGACAATCAAAATGGAAGGTCAATGTGGTGGTCATTGTAGACCATCGAAATGGTTAGTAGGTGTGGTCAGTGTAAACCATCAAGAACATCAAAATAGAAGGTCACTGTGAGTGACCAGTGTAGACCATCAAGATGGATAGTAGGTATAGTCAGTGGAAACCATCAAGGTGCAGAGTCAGTATGGTGATCAGTGTAGACCATCAAAATAGAAGGTCGATATGGGTGGCCAGTGTAGACCATCAAGATGGAGAGTCAGAGTGGGTTTTCAGTGTATGTCTTCAAGATGGAGGGTCAGTGTAGACCATCAGGATGGGTGATCAGAGAATATAGAAGGTCAGGTGGACAGTCAGATGGATGGTCAATGGGGGATCAGCCTGCATCATCAGCAGTGATAGTCACTAGATGGTCACTCAATGCCAAGTGTGGGACCTTAGGGACAAGGAAGTGTCTTACCAGGGGGCCAGGAGGGCCCATCTGTCCAGGGGGTCCCAGGAGGCCTGGTTCACCCTGAGGGTGAAACAGAACATGAGGGGAGGTCCCACCCTACCAGAACCCAGTATGGACACCCCATACCCCACCAAGTTCAGCTTCTCCCAATTACAATGAAAAATTAGGTGATGAGAACACACATCTGCTGCCCCTGCCTCTGCCCACCTCTGTTCTCACCCCACTCACCACAGGACCAGGGATCCCTCGAAGACCCTCAGGCCCAACATGCCCAGGGGGCCCTTGAACCCCAATTGGGCCTGTCCTCCCTGGGGGGCCATCAGGGCCTGGCTCCCCCTGGAACAGACAGGGACAAGGGAAGGGGAAAAGAGTCAGGGAGTACCTGCCTCCTAGTTGTAGGCAAGAACCATCAGGGAGGGGATTGGACCACCTGTGGTGGTCACAGGCACTCTCCCCATCTCGATGGTCCAACTGTTGGCCAAAGGGTCAGCACATGGCCCCTTGCCCGAAATGGGGGCACTCACCTTGGCACCTTTCTCCCCTTCTCTGCCTTCCGGACCCATGCGGCCTGAAGGACCCTGAGAAGGGAAAGATAGTGTGAGTCGGGGCCCCTATGCAGGTGAGTGGGGGCCTGTGTGGATAATTGGGGGCTCCTGTGTGGGTGAATGGAGGCCTGTGTAATGAATGGAAAAAGACGGGAGTCAAGGTAGCCAGAAGTGGGGTGTCACTCACCCTTTTGCCAGGGGGCCCAGGAGGGCCCTGTTCCCCAGAAGCACCAGGCGGGCCCTACAGAGATTACAACAACAATGGTAGCACTCACTAACATCGATGAAACATGACTATGTTTCATTGAGGACGGCTTTGGTTAGAAGACAGCTTTCCCCAAATATCACCCAGCACCAGCCATCTCCCACCTTCCGCAGTTGCTCACATTCATGGCGAGGCCTGAGAAAAGCCCCTCCCAGTTCATCCACTCACCATCCCCCAATCTTGCTCTCCCAGCACCATGCCCCTGTTCCCCTACTCACCGGACCCCCAACTTCACCAGGGTCTCCCTTCTCCCCTGGAGCACCATCTATACCCTATGGAGGGAGAATGGAGTCAAGAGGGGTCATGGAGGTACATGAGAATTTGAAGCATAATGAGGGTGATTCATTCTACTGGCCCTGCCCAGGCCCTCCCTAGGCCTGTGCACCAGGGAGATGGGGACAGAGTTAGGGAAGATGCTGGGCTTGGGGGGGGGGGAGGGGCAGGGTAGGGAGATCAGGATCATACCCACCGAAGTTCCAGGGTCTCCTGGGGGTCCTAGATCTCCTGGGAGCCCTGTGGGGCCCTGGCCAGAGTAATTAATAATCACATCTCTGAATTATTGAGCATTCATTCATTCATTTAACAGATAAACTGGCTCCTGTAAGTCCTGGGTCTCTATGACCTCTGACCAGGACCAGGCACAGGTCTGGGTGCTGGGGACAAAACACAAAATCCCTGCCTTGGTAGAGCAGACATTGCAGGGGTTCATGGATGCTGAGTTGAGACAGTGACATGCATCTCACTTCATCCTCTCAGCAGCCCTCATCCTATCCTCACCCCATCCTTACAGAAGGAGCTGTCACTCAGACAGGGGGACACAGCCAGTGGCAGGTGTCTGTATGAGAATCAAATTGAGGCCCCACAGATTTTAACTTTCCTCATTGCCTCCATAAGGCTCAGAGATCCCCCACTCCTATGTCAAAAGGGCCTCACCTTCCACCCCATGCCAAATACACACCTCAACCCCAACTCTGATCTAGCTTTGACTTCAACCTTGACCTTTCAAACATTGTGAGAATGATTCCATGGGAAAGCAAGTTATACTCCATGCAATAAGGTATAACCACTATATTTTTATGTTGATAGATTGAGTCATTCATTCACTCATTCAGCCATGTTCTAGGTTGCTCATGGAGTCAACGAATTAAAGCACAAGACCCCTGGCTAACCTTCTGGGAGCAAGTTGGGGTGTGAATGGGTGTCTGCTCCTTTCTGTCTCCACCTTCACTTTGCCCCCATGTCTCCCCAGAACTCACCGCACTCCCTTTGGCTCCATCCTCTCCAGGGGGGCCTTTCTTGCCCGGGGGTCCAGCAGCACCAGATGGGCCTGAGTCCCCCTTTTCACCAACTTCTCCCCTGGTTCCCTTTGCAGAAACAGAGATCAGAGGTCAGGCTGGCCTGGACTCTCCAAGAGCCAAGGGTTAGCCTTCCTGGTTTCAGGAATCATGGTGGTCTTGGACTTTCCTGGGGTCATAGGTCAGAATAGCCTAGGGTCAGAGGTCATAGAAACCTAGGGCTTCTTAGGGACCTGGGATCAGATTGGCCCAGTTGCTCAGAAGTTATGGCCAAAGGTGATGTCTGTCATCTTTGAGTGAATTATAACAGAGGTCCCCTTTGAGTAACTCATCCTGAAGCCATGGCTCATGGTCTTCATTTGATCCCCATTTCCTCCCTTGGCCTTGGGCCCTTGTGCAGTAGACAACCTGCAAAACTATGTGGAGGACCTTCCTGAGACATCCCAAGACTCTTTCATCACAAGAACCAGGGATGATCATAAATCAAGAGTCAGTGGGTAACCTTGGACTGCACAGAAGTTAAGGTGGCCCCAAGTGCCCAGGAGTCAGGTGTTCCCCAAGATGAGTGCAGGGGCCAAAGAGCCCAGTCACTCACCGGGATGCCTGGAGGTCCTGTGGGTCCTGGGTCTCCAGCCTCCCCTGGCTCACCCTGTGGGCGACAGAGTGGGAATGGGAAGGGGCCCCATCCTGGCAGACAGGGAGAGGCTCCCCAGAACAGCCACCCCTATTCAGGACTGGTTTTTCCTCCCCCCACCCCATACAGCCCCCAACACATTCTCTCTTTCTCTCTCTTTCCCTCTCTCACCTTCTCACCCACAGCGCCAGGCTGACCAACTCCTCCAGGCAGCCCAGGAGGGCCCTGGAGAGATAGCAAGGAGTAGAGGTGGGACTGTGGATTCCAGAAATTCCCTTCTTGGGAAATGAATTTTCCCCCTTCTGAGGCATCCTAGAGTCCCTAGAGTTCTCACCTCTGATCCACTGGGTCCATGGGGGCCCCTGGGGCCTGGAGCTCCATGGGGACCCTGTGGGAGGTTCAGAATAGCATCCAATGAATGACGCCGTGGTCTCCCCCAAAAGCTCCAGTGACCACAGACACCACACTTGATGCTAGCGGCTCACATGACCCTTGAAATGACAGTGGTGCCCTGGGACCCCCCCAAATGGATCTCACCCCCACCCTATAACCCTGACTCCCTCTCCCACCTTTCCTTAGGGGTCCATACCATGGGCCCTACGTCTCCGACCTCCCCTTTCTCTCCAGGAGGGCCTGGCATCCCCTGTGGGACAAAGAAGCAAGATTGTGGCACAGGGGGAGGGAACCAGAGACACCACCCAATAACTCAGATACCCACCTGCAGGCCAGGGGGACCAATCACCCCCACGAAGCCTCTGACTCCATCATCTCCTTTCTGTCCAAAGAGACCTGGGGGTCCCCGGCGTCCCTGAGCTCCGTCTGCTCCCTGGGAGGGGGACAGAGGCAGGGGTTGGGGTCAAGGGTCAGCATTGAGGTTAAGGGTTGGAGTCAGGGCTGGGATTAAGTTTGAAGAAGGTCAGAGTTGAGTTTGAAGTTGAGATCTGGGTTAAGGATCAGGTTATGGGAATGAAGTTAAGGGCTGAGTCAAAGTTTAAGATTGGCATTGGATAGTGAGTGAAATTTGGATTTAAAGTTAAGGTCATGAACAGAGTCTGAGGGAATTGAGATGGGATTTAGGGTTGGGTTTGAAGTTGGGGCCAGGATCAGATTCAAAGTTGGAGTTCAGGTTTGGAGTCAGCATTGAAGGGTGTGTCAGGGTTAGAGATTGAGGTAAGAACTGGGTCAGAGTTAGGTTAATATGGATTTGGAGTTGGGATTGAAGTTAAGGGCATGAGCAGGGTTGAGATTGGAGCTGTGATGGAGTTCAGAGTTGGAGTTGAGGTTGGGACTGGGTTAAATTCAAGAGGTGAGTTCATACAGGATGCTGGCATTGAGGAGTAGATCAGAGTTAGGGTTGATATTGGGCCCGAGTCAGGCTAGAGAACACTCTCCCTTTGATCGAGAAGGGATCACAAAGCTCAGATTACTCACCGGGGAGCCTGGGTGTCCTGCAGGACCTCGTACCCCTGTTGGTCCAGGTGGGCCCTAGGGAACAGAACAAAATCCAAAAACCCCTCCTAGGGCCACTAGGAACCCTGTCTCCCTGCCCACACCTCCTTATTAGAAAAATTACCCACACCAGGAAGAGGCAACAACATCCTCCCAACCTTATCTTCCTAGGAACCAACTGCTGGGATCAGAAATGGACATCTGTCCCCAACTTGGCCCATCCAGACCTTTCCCAGGAAATCCCACCAGGGACTGAGCTGGCTCACTGCTGCTGGCACCGGAGCTGACGTTTCTGGAGGGAAGCTGGGGCAAGATGCCTCACAGCCAGAGTCATGCGCAGGGAGAAGCATATGCCACCAAGGAAAAGGAGAGGAGAGGGTAACCTTCCAGTTCTTTTGGGACCTCGGCTACTCTGTCTGCAGTTGGGTTCTGTGACCTCCTTTACTCAAGGTAACTTGAGGGGCTTCTCCTCCTTGCAGGTGTCAACATGGGGCCCAGGAAAGCAGGAAGCTCTGTGGCCTCCACCCACTTCCACATCCCAGACTCCCCTCTCTCCTCCCCTGAGGAGCATTCCCCAACTGGAGACCCCCTACTCACCACATCCCCCTTATCGCCTTTGCTTCCCTTGTGACCAGGGGCACCCACTTCACCCTGCAGAGGAAACAGGATGAGAGAAGACCACGCCCCTCAAAACCGTCCACCCTCCCCCTGGACACTCACTCTTCATGAGTCCCTCACCTTGTCCCCTTCCTCGCCAGAAGGTCCAACAGCTCCGCTGGGTCCAGGGAGCCCCAGGGGCCCTGGGATCCCATCTTTGCCAGTGGAGCCTGGTGCTCCACGTTCACCCTGATGGGGGAAGTTGGAAGGGGTGGAAAAGGGCAGGGGTCAGAGCTGGAACTGGTATGTGGGCAGCTAGGTCCTGAGGAATGGGGTGGGCAGGTCACTTACCGGGGACCCTTTCTCGCCTGCGGGGCCAACAGGGCCTTGGCCTCCACTTTGGCCAGGAAGCCCAATGCCTCCTGTTGGGCCTACAGGACCCCGCTCACCAGGGGAGCCCTGAAAGTGGCAAAGGGTCAGGAATAACCACCATAGTAAAACCAAAACCAAACCAAACTCACTGCCATCGAGTCGGCTCCAAATCATAGCAACTTCTCTTTGGGTTCCCAAGGTGGTATCTCTATGGAAGTAGATTGCCCAGTCTTTCTTCTGAGGAGTGGCTGGTGGGTTTGAATCACCAGCCTTCTGGTTAGAAGCCAAATGCCTTAGGCACTACGCCACCAGAGTTCCTAGCAACCATAGTAGTAGCTCTCATTTATGGAGGGTTTCCTAGCAGATAAGGAGCTCTGGTAGCACAGTGCATAAGGCATTTGACTGCTAACCAGAAGACTGGTGGTTCAAACCCTCCAACCACTCCATGGAAGCAAGCCTGGGCATTCTACTTCTGTAAAGATTTATTGCGTCAGAAACCCAATGGGGGTCGCTATGAGTCGGAACAGACTCTACCACAGTGGGCTTATTGTTTGTTTAGGCCCAAAGATAGATGGTGACGAGCATCGTATCCAACTGTTTTCCTATCCCCAGCAGCCAGATAGCGCTGCAAACACCTGAGTCAGGTCAGTCCCTCCCCTGCCCACAGCTCTCCACTGGCTCCCATCCACTCAGAACAAAAGCCAATCTCCTTCCTATGGCCCACAAAGCCCTACACATCCTGCCCCAATCACCTCTCTGCACGTTTCTCCCACAGCACCCCTCTCACTCCCTCTCCTGCAGCCCCTCTGGGCTCCTCCGCGTTCCTGAAACCCACCAGGCATGCTCCAGCCTCAGGGCCTTTGCATCTGCTGTTCCCTCTGCCTAGAATATTCTTCTCCCAGTTACCCACCTCCAGCAAGTTTCAGCTCAAATGCCACCTTCTCCAGAGGCCTTCCCTGATTGGCCTATTTAAGTTGCTGCCCCCATGCTCCCCTCCTCTTTGCTCTATGTTGTTCCATGGCTATAGTCAGTTTCTGGATGACTTTTTTGTCTCCCCCATTGGAATGTAAGCTCCAAGAGAAAAGAGGTTTTCGTATGTTGATAACTAGCACACAGGTATCTGTGCATGGATCATTTCCTGAGGTCTGGGATAATCTATGAGGTGGAGTTTCTCATCACACCATTTCACAGATGAGGAAACTAAAGACACAAAACCATGTGATTGCCCAACCAGTGAGTGGCAGAGCTAGGTGTGACCTAGGCCTGTTTGACTCCAGAGGCAACAGACTTAACCATGACAATGCTTCGCAGATACCCAAGTCCCCTCTACCCCACCCCTACCCAGCAGGTGGGGTTATACTTACATTGGCCCCGATGGGGCCCGGGGGGCCCTTGTCACCCTTCAAACCAGTAGGTCCCTGAGGGAGGAGATGGTTCAGTCAAGAGGCCCCCAGGTCCTGTCTGCACTCTGGGAGGCTCACCATCCCCATTTCCTTCCTAGGATTGGGCACTGAGGCGGGGGGTCTGCCTCCTCTCTGGCTGCCATTCCTTTACTTTCACAGCTGCCCCCACCCACTCTGCCATCACCATTGTCCCCCTGAACCCCCTTTCCTTCTCTGCCTCCCAGCCCAGCCAAGCACCTGGCCAAAGGGGCTTCAAGAGCTACTCACCAGGTCCCCAGGGGCTCCTTGGGCACCAGGGAAGCCCCTAGGTCCAGGTGGACCTTCCTTTCCAAGGGGTCCTGATGGTCCTGGGTCCCCCTGTAGGAGTGCGGAGGAGGGAGGTCAGGGTGTCTCTCCCAGTCTGTGTGTTTGGGCCCATGCCCCATGGAGTTGACTCAAGCTCTGAGATGGTAGGGGGCTGTTGAGGGGGCTGTGGACCCTCCACCAAGATCTCCTGTGGAGTGGGGTCTCACCTTGCTTCCCTCTCTGCCTTCCAGGCCTGGAAGACCTTGTTCACCAGGAGGTCCAGGTGGACCTGGGGGTCCCCTCTCACCCAAAGGCCCTGCTTCTCCTGTCTTTCCCTGGAGAGAAGGAAGGCTCATCTTGAGCTGAAGTGGACTAAGGAGATGTGCCTGTGATCTCAGCTTCCCCTTGAAGTCTCCCCAAAGCAGGGCAAAACTGGGGAGGTAGGCAGGTGACTCTGACCTGAGGCCCCACAACACCAGCTGGTCCAGGTGGGCCTGTCTGACCTTGGAAGCCCTTGGGAGACAAACGAGAGGATCATGTGGACAGAGGAAAGGGAGGACATCATAGTCAGGGATCAGAGACCAGGGGATCACTCACCAATTCTCCTCTCTGTCCAGGGTGCCCAGGTCTCCCATCCTTTCCCTGGGGGCCCTGTGGAATGAGGTAGGGAAAAGTTGGGGCACAGATATGGAGTCTCCTTTCTCCCTGTCTCCCCAGCCTTCAATCAGGGTGAGCACACTCACAGGTGGACCCTTTGGCCCAGGGAATCCAGGGGATCCTTGCAGTCCAGGGAGGCCCTGAAATGGAACCAGGAGTCATTATTCAATCCCTCCCGCCTGAGCCCCTGAGCCTCACATAATGACAATTAGCTTGTGCACAGTGAGCACTTACTGTATGTCAGGCACTGGGTCAAGCACTCTACATGCTGTAAGCAGTTTCATTTGCCACTGCAGCCCTTAGGGGTTATTCCCATTTTATAGAAGAGGAAACTGAGGCACAGAGAGATTAGGTAATTTGCCCAAGTCACACAGCTGGTGAGAAGCAGAGCTAGGACTTGAACTCATGGCTCTCTGGCTTCAAAGGCTGTGCTCTCTCCACTGCCTAAAAATGTTTTCCAACCCTGTGGGATTGTCCCAACCCAGATCGTCACATATACACTCACACTAACCTTTTCTCCAGGGATCCCAGTGGGGCCATCCTGGCCCACATCTCCCTAGGAAAGAGTGAGTAGGACTCAGGTCCAAAACAAATCCAACTGGGAGGGACTGGGAGACACTGGGTGATTCTGGAATAGAGGGGCTGCTGGGGGCCATGATCACCCACCCCTGCCATACCTTGGGGCCTGGCTGTCCTGTGGCACCTGGTTGCCCTCTTTCTCCACGGGAGCCCTGAGCAGAAAAAGGCAAAAGTTAGAAGTGAGAAGTTGAAAGCACCTAAGAGATGAGACCAAGTCCTCCAGATTGAATGGTTCATCTCTATGAACACCCTCCTGCCTCACCAGGAACACTGACATAACCCAAGCCCTCTTCATGATCTCTCCACCACCTCTCCTCTCCAGCCCCTCCTTTGTAGCCCTGCTCCCCACCCCAGGCCCCGGCAGGCAGTGGGCAGGGGGAACAACTCTCTTACTGGTGGTCCTCGCTCTCCTTCCAGCCCTGACTGGCCCGCCTTCCCCTGAAAAGGAAATTGGGTGAAGGGAGGCAGAATGAAGTTATGGTACCAATTACAGACCTAGAAAGACACCTGCACACATTTATTCACAAGCCTTTTACAAAAGCACAAATGCACCACTTATATACAAAACCATATAAGGATTACAGACACCCAATGACATATACAATCACCCCTATAGAGTCCAAACATGTAAGTTTGTGTGCTCACCCAGATCCCCACTTGCCACACAGTGTACATACACATCATTGTGTGCCACCATGGAATGCAGTTGGCAACCCACAGCCTTGAGTTGACACTGGAGCTTGCCATGCCCTTGTCCCTTGCAGACACATACCTGCACACCCAGTACAAACACATGCATGCATGCATTCATATGATGACATAGTCCTGATCAGCACATCAGTATACATATACCAGTCAGTTGCCATTATGTCTTTTGTCACTCATGGCGACCCCATGTGTTCAGAGTAGAACTGTGCTCCCCAGGGTTTTCAATGGCTAATTTTTCTTTTTTTGAAAGTAAATAGCTGGGCCTTTCTCTGAGGCACTTCTGGGTGGACTTGGACCTCCAACCTTTTGGTTAGCAGTCAAGCACATTAACCACCTGCACCACCCAGGGACTCTACTATATATATGTCATTGTTGTTAGGTGACGTCAAGTCATCTCCAACTCATAGCAACCCTATGTACAACAGAACGAGACACTGCCCAGTTGGCACCATCCTCATAATCCTTGTTATACTATGTACACACACATGTGCCTATATACCCAATGTCCATTTATACATAGTCACAATATACAGACAGCAATATAATGCATGTCTGTGTACATACCCTCTTAGTGTACACAGAAGTACATGCACATATCCTTTCACATGTGTACATACGCCTCATATGCTTATGTCACACACATACATGCAGGCCCATGGCTTTGTTCACCCAGATACAGGCCTGCAGGTGGCAGTATCCAGACCCTATTTGATCTACATAAATACTCACTACACACATGCACACCTGGGCACACAGGTGTAACCTACATGTAGTGTGATGCTCTACCTGTATCCTACATTAACTCAGGAAAATGTGTGCACACAGGTGCTCCCGGCCATAGACACATATGCTGTGGCTTCCCTCTCCCCAGATCACAACTCACCCGCTTTCCTTTCTCTCCTAATGGTCCCAGTGGCCCAGGAAATCCAATAGATCCCTGAGTTGAGAAAATCAGAAAGAGAAGAGATGATGGTGAGAGGGTGGGCAAGTAGAACAGCCCTTCACCCAGTCCAGCCACACCACCCTCTCAGCCCTTCGCCCAGTCCAGCTGCACCATCCAGGCCCTTGCCAGGCTACTGAGTCTAGAACTCCGCTGCCTCTTTGGTCGTCCAGCCCCAGCCTCCCCCTATGCAGCCCTCTGCCCTCCTCTCTTCCCCTTAGCCCCCCTCCCTCACTCCACTTCAACCACACTGGTCTCCTCAATGTTCTTCGGGCATACCAGTACACTCCTGCTTCTGAGCCTTCCCACCAGCTGTTCCCTTTGCTTAGAATGCTTTTCTCCCAAGTTTCCACAAAGCCAGCTACTCTTTGCCTTTTAGATCTCACTCAGATGTCACTTCTTTAGAGAGGCCTTCTGCTGCCATCCTGACCACTATGTCTTCCAAGTTACCTTCTGTCTATCATGTTGTCCTATTTGGAGCTCTGGTGGCATAGTGCCTAAGGCATTTGACGGATAACCAGAAGACTGGCAGTTCAAATCCACCAGCCACTCTTGGAAGGAAGACTGGGCAAATTACTTCCATAGAGATACAGCCTTGTAGTCAAAATCAACTCATCAGCAGTGAGTTTGGTTGTTTTGGTTTATGATCCTTGTAGTAAAATGACCTTACTCATTTGAGTACTTACTCAATATCAGTTTTTCCCATCAGGGCATAGTCCACTGGTCCTAGTTCCTGCTGTCTATTGTTTGTTCTTGTGAGCTGACATTAAGTCCACCCCCAAGTAATGGCAACCTCACAATGGAATGAAATGCTGTTCAGTACCTATCACTCCATGATTGGTTACAGATCAAATCACTGTGATCCATACATATTAACAAAAATGGATTCCAGCCCATGCTGTCCTGCCCATATGGAAGGGACCCTCACACACTGCGAGGAAGACATCAAAGGTATCTGATACTCCCTCTGGCCCCTCACTAAAAAGACTGAGTCTAAATCAGGAGAGACACTGACCAAGTGACCCAATAAGCCTGTTGTTGTATCAGCCTCAAAGCCCTTTCCAGGCCCTCTCTCCTCCCTTCACATTTGGGGTCCCACGGCTCTTGTGCTATTCAAGGATCCTGTACACCCACCCACGCACACACAGAGACTTACTAATATCTTATCTTCATATTAATTAATCAATTTCTTACCAACCATGCCTGACAATATGACTACTTCTACGAAGGATCAAAATCCTCCTTCCCTGAGTACCTACTTTGTATTATGCACTGTGCCAAGGACTTTGCCTGCATCCTTTGAGTTTGAATTCCATCTCCACAGCTAGACTAGCCGTGCAGCAAGTGACTTAACCTCTCTCTGTCTATAGCTTGGGGATATCAACAATACTTCCCTCATAAGGTTTTGGTGAGAATTAAATAGAAAGTGTTTCCTGTCGTGTTTGGCATATCATAAGTACTCAAGAAATGTTAGCTGCCATTTGTTGTTATTTACTATTTTTATCTGACCCCCACTTCACTGACACACTATGTCAAACACATTGTTTGATGGCTAGGAGGTTTCTCTCTCAAACTCCCATAAACTTCTGCTCCTATAGCTTGGGTTATATACTTAGCTACAGTGTCCTGAGTTTATTCCCAAACCTGTTTATGTCAGTTGCACTTGCTGTTAGAGTCATGTGATTCAATTAAGTTATTTTCATTAAAAACTAATGAATTATGAAAAGGAAAAGAAAAACATCTGTCAAAACAAAGTTAAATAGAGACCACAGCCTCATCTACTCTGAGACCAGAACTAGATTGTGCCTGGCTACCACTACCAACCATTCCAATCAGAGTCACAATAGATGGACCCTGATAGAATGGGAGAAAAATGTAGAACAGAAACTCAAATTCCTAAAATAAAAAAAAGAGAGAGAGAGAGAGAGAGAGAGGCTCTTCAAACCATGAAGCAAAACTAAACCCTAAGGTCACCATATAGCTAAATATCAAATTGGTTTTAAGAAAACAATGAAAATCACTTGTAAGTACTGTGATTCTTTAACAAATCACCTATATGAGACCAATGGTCAACAATTATTTTGAAACAAATATGACAATATAAAGAGGCAGGGGAAACTAGATGAATGGAAATGGAACAACCAGAATGGAAATAGTGAGAATGTTCATGCATTGTGATGATTGTAACAAATGTCACTGAATGACCTGTGTAGAAATTTTGAATGAGAATCTAAACTGCTGTGTAAGCCTTCACTGAAAACTCAATAAAATGTGATTAAAAAAAAAACAAAAAAAAAACTCCAACTCCCACAGACCCCATATGTGTCAGAGTAGAATTGTACCCCATAGGGTTTTCAATGGCTGATATTTTAGAAGTAGATCACCAGGTCTTTCTTACAAGGTGCCCTGAGTGGCCTAAAATCACCAATATTCTGGTTAGCAGCCAAGTATATTAACCATTTGTACCACTCCTTTAAATAGAAAAGACTGGTAGCTGGTGGGTTTGAACTGCTGACCTTCTGGTAGCAGCCAAATGCCTTATCAACTATACCACCAGAGCTCCTTTTAAACAGAAAAGACTGGGTATAAAAGAAAGTGTCTAAAAAATTGCTGTCCAATTAGTTGTGGGCAAGAGAACTGTACCAGATTGAGAGGGCTGAGATCTGGAAGCATTCTGCACTCAGATTTTTTTCCCACATGCTTTTAAGTTCCTGTCCCACTTTTTACAAACAGAAACTATAAATCATCATTGATGTAATATGGGTGTGGTTTAGGCCATAAAGCTGAATCTAATCAGTAGCCTTATTCATCAACACATTGGCAAACACATGTACAGTTTCATGTAAGTACACTTTTGTATAAATACATTTTATTATACATTATACATAAGTTATCTTGTTGTTATGTGCCATCAAGTTGGACCCGACTCATAGCGACTCCTCCTTGGGTTTCCAAGGTGGTATCACTATGGAAGTAGATTGCCCAACTTTCCTTCCAAGGAGCGGCTGGTGGGTTTGAACCACCAGACTTCTGATTAGCAGTCAAGTGCCTTAGGCACTATGCTACCAGAGATCCTTAAGATATGTTAGAGATGTGTATTTTATGGATACTTTTCCTCTACCAATGAATCAACCTCAATCACACCAAATAAGAAAGCTCCTATAGCTTTATCATCATCATCATCATCGAGTTTCTTATAATCAAATAGATGACGAAGATACTACTGTTATCCCAATTTTGCAGCTGAAGACATGGTCTCAGAGACTTGCCAAGAGGGAGGGTATTTGAGGCCAGATCTGACTTATGCCTAAACCCATACCTTACCCTGTATCTCAACAATCATGAGTGAAAGGCTCATACTCCCACACCACAGCGTCTGGGCCCCCAGATTCTAAGCAGTCTCTGAACCCCACCCCAGTCCCCCTAGAGTCCCTCAGCATTACCTTAGGGCCTGGACGTCCTGGGTAGCCTGGGAGACCTGGCATCCCAAGCTTGCCCTAAAGAGAGATAATGGAGCAAAGGTCAGAAATTGCAGCCCAGAGGTCAGAGGGAAAAGATCAAGGATGGCTGTAGCGTGGGATGAGGTAGCAGGGTGGGGATCAGGGAAACGTGGGTTTGAGGCTCAACTCCTGCTGCTAAGGACATGTCCTCGGGCAGATCATTCAACCACTACAAATCTCAGTTTCCTTGTCTGCACAATGGGGATAAAAAATTCATACTGCACGTGATGGTTGTGGGATTAAAAACAAAATGGTGTGCATGGAAGTGCTCTGCAACCTGAGCTGAGAAATGAAAGGAGATGACAAGGGTGTCTGCAGCCTCTTGAGGTTGAAATGAAAGGGCAGTGAAGTGAAGTGGGCAGAAGCCAAAGGGCAGGGGCCACCGGGGCTGCAGGACAGGATGTTGGTTGGAGGGTGAGTGGGCAGGTGACCAAGGCCCTCTACCTTCTCCCCAGCTGAGCCGGGAGGCCCCTCCTCGCCAGCCAGCCCCGCCTGCCCCTTCAGTCCTTCTGGGCCATCTTCTCCCCGGGCACCTGCGGGTCCTGGGTGCCCCTGGAATAGAAAGGAGAGGCCTGATGTCAGTCACATTGCCACTCTTTCTCCCTCCAGCCCCCATCCTGCTCACTTAGCCCCAGCTTACCCCCTCCCCACTTTCCCCCAGCCCCCCCGCCCCCGACACAGCAGAACCCTTATCTGGAGCTCATCTTACCCGATCACCTTTAAGGCCCCCATCACCCTTGAAGCCTGGGAAGCCATCTTCTCCCTGGGAGGAAGAGAGCACAGAGGTGAGGCCAGGGCTTCAGGGGAGAGGCACAGCCTGCAGGGTCCCATTCCTGGGGCTCCCTGCCCCCTGCAAAGAAGTCCCTTCCTTCTCACCTTCTCTCCTTTCTCCCCCTGGAGGCCTCGGTGGCCAGAGGTGCCCTGCAAAATAAAAATGCACTCAGTTCCTTTTCCTGCTTGAGAAGGGCCCCAAATTCAGTCCTCTGCCCTAAATCGGCCAGGACAGTCCCAAGATGATGCTGGACTGTAGTGAGGATGGGGGCAGCCTTGGAGGAAATGACTTTTGCCCAAAGCCCGCTGGTGTGGTGTACTAGAAGCTGCCTCCCTGCTCCCTTCCAACGGGCAGCCTCCCAAGGTTGTTCGTGAGGGGGTGTACAGGGAAGGCCAAATTTCCAAGTAACAGATTCTCATCTCCCAGGGACATAGTGTCCACAGCTCCTTCTGGCAGGAGAAGGAAGATGAACATTCCAGGCCCTGGTCTCATTCTAAAAGCAAAGGAATGTTTCCCTTTGTGCTGGCTACAATGCGACTCTGTGCTTGGCAACAAGGCGACTCTGTTTAGCTACAGCAAGACTGCTCAGTGAAGTCTGGGCTCTGCTCAACCAAACTCTGGACCTAGGCCACAGGGAAAACTGTACTTCGATATAACATAACTGGGCTCAGAGACAACAATGAAGTTATACTTGGATACAGCATACCTCAGATCAGAGACAACAAAGAAATGGTACTCAGATATTATATAACTATGTATTTGGACCATAATATAACTGTGTCTAGCCACAGTGCAATTCACTGAACCACAATGTAACTGAGCTTGTTTTCTGGCCTTGGCTACAATGTAACTGGATTCAACTACAACAGAGGCTGAAATGATATGTAATGATGCTTGTATACAATGTAGCAGCAGGGCTGTGCCAGCTACAGTTCAGCCACTTCCTTGATGACAGTGTAATTAAGCTTGTCTACAAAGTGGAAATGTAAGGCATCAGTTATTTGTTACCACCAAACTGTTATTAGACCACAGGTCATCTGTACATATATTTAGCTACACTGTAACTGGACTTAGCTATGACATGGATATAAACTCCACTGTCCCTGCACTTGGTCAACAGTGCAGACCTGTTTAGCCACAGTGCAGCTCCTGGCTTGTCCTAGCATCGCTGTAGAACAATGTGGCTCTGGGCTTGGGTAAGGGCCCAACGCTCTGCTTTGCTGTAGTTTGCTGACCTGGACCACAATGTGGCTTATGTGCTTACAAAAAAAATTGTGCTCAGTCTCTGATGGGCCTGTTTTCAACTACTGGGCAACTGGTTGTAACTGCACTGTACATGCTGACTGTAATGCTCTCCTTTGTCTGTTTAGCTCTGAAGTAACACACCCACTTCTGAGTTTAAAAAAAAAAAAACTCACTGCCATCGAGTGGATTCCGACTCATAGCAACTCCTTTTGGATTTCTGAGGCAGTAAATATTCATGGAAGTAGATTGCCCAGTCTTCCTTCCATGGAGTAGTTGGTGGGTTTGAACCACCAGCCTTCTGGTTAGCAGTCAAATGTCTTAGGCACTATGCCACCAGAGCTCCTTCAGTTCTGTGTATTGTAGCTGAAACCCAAGATCCACTCCTTGCCTGGTAGACTGATTCCTCTCTCCATACACCCAGAAATGTCTGACGGTGCTATATTCCTAAAGCCACTGATGAATCACCCCTACCTGCAGGCCCCAAGTACCACCTACCTTCACACCTCGAGGTCCAGGATAGCCTGGAGGGCCTGACGACCCTGTTGGACCCTGAGATCAAGATAAGGTCAGTGCCATGCTGTCATGCCCCCTCTATGTTCTCAATGCCCTCCTCTCTCTCCCCCCTTATGACCCCCTGACTCCTGGCTCTCCTTACCCATCCTCATCCCCCATCCAACCTCTCCTCAGGTTACTCACCTGGGCCCCTTTCTCTCCTGTGGGGCCCTCATGGCCTGGGTGACCCTGGGGAAGAAACATTCTAAATTAGCAGGGACCTAGATTTGTTATCCAAATCCACAACCCAACTCCTTCTTCCTCCTTTTTCCAGCTCCCAGTTCTCACCAGAGGGCCATCAGCTCCTGGAAGACCTAGAATTCCTGGGTTCCCAGGGGGACCCTGAAAGAAGATGAACAGTTGAGGAGGTGATGGAGGTCTCAGAACCCCACCCTCCATCCAAAATAGCTCTCCACATACAGCTAGTTCAAGGTTAGAGAACAAGCAGATCCCAGGGGACAGGAAATCTATTCCTACCTCTGCCCAGACCTGCTATGTGACCTGGGTAAGCCTTCTTCCCCTTTATAAGCCTCAAAAATCTCTCCCTTTAGGAGGGTTGAGAGAAGAGATGTGAAACCAGTGTGACAGACTGGGTTTACATGGGAGGGGATTCCCAGCAACACCCTTTCTTTAGAAATGTCTCCCATTCACATCTTCCACTGAAGAAGGGTGTGTCTAGGTAGCATGAGGGGACTCCAGTATCCTGCAAACAGCTGACAGGTTCAGAGGTGAGAAGCATGGCCCAACTAAGCCAATCAGATTCTTCTCTGAGATTTTGAGCTAAGAGACACCAAAACTATATGATCAGATGGATTTGAAACTATAAAGTCATGGGAAGCTGGGGCCTAAAAGGGTGAGGAGGCAGTAGAGAGGGTCATATAGAAATAGAAATTGAGAGTGAGGATAAACTAAAAAAATGTGCAGAAAGAAACATGTCTACCAGGGGAGATGGAAACAGATGTGCAGAGAAACAAAGATGACACCATAGGGCCCCAGAGAAAAGGTTGTCCCCCTGAGTCATAGTAATACTTTCTAAGACAGGCATCTGTGGTTTTCCCTTTAATCTGACAATATCTGCTTATGTGAGCTGGCCTTGGTGTGTTTCTGTTTATGGTAACCCTCCCTTTTCCAATTTTCACTTTGTAACTCTGGGCTTATTTATCATAGCCTCAGAGCTAATGGAAAAGGCCTGGTGGGAAGCTCTTCCCAGAGACATAGTTGAAAGGAGCATTGACATGAAAGAGTCACAAGTAGGCCTTGTCACTCACCTTCTCTCCAGGAAGGCCAATGGGTCCCTGGGGGCCAGGGATTCCCTGGAGATATAAAAAAGAGAGAGAGAGAGTAAAGGAAGGCATGAGGAAGGGGCAGTAAGCTCCAAGGTCGGGAAGACTGGAGTGTACCCAAGACTGGGAAGGCCTTGGTTAACCATCACAAGCCCCAATTAGTGGAAAAGATAGCTCAAACCTGGGACCCAGGGTTTCCCTGCTGTCCTGGAGGGCCTGGTTCTCCTGGAGGACCCTGAGGAGAAAGTAGGGGTTCAGTGGAGGGGTGCATGATGTTGAGGTGTCAGTGAAGTTGAAATCAGGGGTCATGGGTGTGGATAAGGATAAGGATGGTGACAGGGAAAAGGAGGGATCAGGAAAGAGTTAGGGATGGGCCCAGAGTGTTCAAAAGGGTCAGAGGTCAGAGGGTAGGACACATACCACATTTCCTTTGGCACCTGGAGCACCATCAATCCCAACTACACCCTGTGGGAAGAGAGGATATGAGACCAGGACTGGGAGACCAGAGGAGTAGAGTCTGAGATACTGAGAGGTGCAGGTGGAAAGGTGAATGGGCAGAGAAACCAGACAACAGAAATTGACATGCCGAGGACAGAGGCGAAGAAAGCAGGCAAGTATGCAGAAAGACAGTGACATCTCACCGGGCGTCCTGGGGGGCCAGGGGAACCCCTGGGGCCAATCACTCCTCGAGGACCCTGAAAGGAAGTAGAAGCGTTATCTCAGCATCATCTCTGGGCCCTGTTCAGAGGCCCTAAGATGCCCAACTCCATGTCCTTCTCCAGACAAGAGGTCCTTGCGTTCCTGATACTCACCGGCTCCCCAGCCTGGCCAGTGGGCCCTGGAGGTCCCTGTCCTCCCTGTGGAAAAGCATTGTCACTTGGAAAGGAGGGAGGCAAAGCTCTCAAAGAATCACTATCCCTCAACTGGAAAGCCCCTTCTAGGGGATCTTAGTCAGAGCATGGGGCAGGATTCAGGTCCCTGACCCCAATCCTGCAATCCTCAGCCTTACCTCCTAACTTCTGAAATACCTCATATCCGTCAAGCCATCTGACTCTCCAGTACAGCCCCTACTGTTCATCCAACCCCCTGACACCTCTCTGTCTCTCTTTCTGGCTTCTAGCCTACAATCTATCCCCAACCTCTCCCAAACTTACCTTCTCACCATCCTCTCCTGGGGGACCAGGTTGTCCCACATGGCCAAAGTCACCCTGAAGTGAGTAACAGAGGGGATTTCAGAGTGGAAATGTAGGTGTGGATACCAGCCACCCAGGAGAGCAGCTCATGCATGAGGAATGAGGACTCAGATACAGGAAGCAAGTCTCTGGCACTGGAGGTGGGAAGGAGGACATGAACATGAGAGGGAGACTTGGAACAAAGGAGGGGCCTCACACACTCACCCTTTGGCCCTTCTCACCAGGCAACCCTGGAAGGCCATCAAAGCCCCGATCACCCTGTCCAAAAAGATGCCAGCTGAACCTCAAACCCTTGACCTTGACACTTTCCCCAAATCCCAGTCCTGGTCCCATCATTTACCTTGGGTCCCGTGTCCCCTGGGAGGCCCCGAGCTCCATCTGCTCCAGAGCGTCCCTATGAAATAAGAGGTGAGCCAAAGGGTCAAGGATCAACCTCACCTCTAATCCTACCCAAGATTAGGACTCAATGACATTATTATCATCAACACCATAAAGATACCAACTACCATTTACTGAGCACATTCTTCCTATAGAGTCCTGTGTTGGGGGCTCCTTTGTGTACCAATGTAACATCCCACATATAAGACTCATCCATTATTCTTTATCCCCAGTGTCCTTGCTCTAATCCAAATCACCATCCTCACAAAAATGGTTGTTGTTGTTGTTATGTGCCATCGAGTCAGCCCCGACTCATAGCGACCCCTCTTTGGATTTCCCAGGTGGTATCACTACAGAAGTAGATTGACCAACCTTCCTTCCAAGGAGTGGCTGATGGGTTTGAACTGCCAGGCTTCTAGTTAGCAGTCAAATGCCTTAGGCACTATGCTACCAGAGCTCCCTCACCAAAATTAAGAACCTCCAATTTCATTGCACTTCTAAGTGTTTGGAAGCATCTTATTCATCATTTCCTCCAATGTGCCAGGCTCTTCCTTTGCACATGTTGTTCCTTCTGCTTGAAATGCTCTTCTCTCTCCTGTTCACCTAGTTATACTTCAGATATCAGTTCAAGTTATCACTCCTTCTGGCAAGTCCTTCCTGACTCTCTGACCTAACCTAATTCCCTTGTCATAAACTCAAACAGCTGAAGCCATTCCCTTCCCTCCATGCTCTTATCCCACCAATGACACCAACAGATCCAGAACTGTAGAGCCAAGGCTCATAGAGGGTGTTGATAGATGTATAAGGTGTGACCTGAAGACCTAGAAGTCACTCACCATCTTTCCTTCTCGTCCAGGGGGACCAGGGGGCCCCTGAAGGCCTCGGGGACCCTAAAAAAAAAAAAAAAAGGAAAGGAGAATAAAGAAGAAAGACTTATTTTAAGTCATTCCTGAGGAAAGGCAGTAATTATGAGGGTATCCCCAGTCTCTTTGGCATTTTCCCCAACCAGCACCTTACCCTCTGGCCCTAGGGGAAGACCCTTTTCATGCAACCTGTCCCTACCCCCACCAGTCTCACCTGTGGTCCCATTTCTCCCATCTCTCCTTTCAGACCTGGATACCCAGGAAGACCCTTGGCAGAGGAGACAGAGGAGAGCTCAGTTAGAAGGAGGTGACCCTTCCCCACTGATACACCTCCCACCTCCATGCAGCCTCCTTACTCACCGTAGGGCCTGGGCGCCCAGTGAGCCCCACTGGGCCAGGGGGACCTTTCATGGAGAGCTGTAGACACAAAAGGGAACAGGGCCTCAAGTCTCCCACAAGACTCCCAACACCTTCTACAAAGGCATGTTCAGGAGATTAACATCCCCCTGTATTCTGATAGCTCTTCCTTATCCCCTATCCCTGCCATTCTCCTAATTGTCCTCCCATTGTTCCTCCCTTCAGTCCCCTGACTGTCTCCCCACTTACCTGAGCCTGTTGCAGTACTGCCTGAGCCTGGGCCTGCTGGAAGGAGACTGGAGGTCCTTTGAGGGAACTGCTTGCAAACTGGAACTGAGGAACAACTAGTGGTGAGGGCAGCCCCAAGGAGAAGCCCACTCTTGGGTCAGGACTCCACCCCCTAGTGCTGTGCCACACTATCCCCTTCTCACCGGTATCATGATCACAGTGCCTGGTAGGCCCCGGATTCCATCAATGCCAGGGGTCCCTGGGAGGCCAGTAGGGCCCTGGAGAGATGGAGAGAGAGAGATGAAGGAAAGGATGGAGGTAGGAATAGACAGAGATGAGAGGTAGAGATGGAGAGGGAAATAGAGAGGGGTAGAGAGAGAAGGATGAAGGCAGAAAGATGGAGAGAGGGAGGCAGGAAGAGACAAAGTGAGAGATAACAACAGAGAGAGGGAGAGAGAGTCATAGAAAGTGTCAGAAACCAAAACAGGCAAAGAGATGGTGAGGAGATAGAGAAGGGAGATGACCAAGATAGAGACATAAGAGGAAGACAGAAATGAAAGATGCTTAAAGATAGAGGGAGAAAAGCAGGGGTAAGTGCCCAGAGACAAAAGAGGAGCCAGGGAGATAGTTTACAGATGGGAAAAAGAGATCAGCAGGAGGGATCAGTTTGAGATGCAGGACAATGTCCCCTGTCCCAGCCCTCAGACCCATGTTCAGACTGTCTTGTTCCCAACCTCAGTTCCACAACCTAACACCTCACATCCTGAGATAGATACACCCCAGGGGCAGTTTCTTACCGGTAACCCAGGGTCTCCAGGAAATCCTGGGGGACCAGGAGGGCCCAAGGGGCCATCCACCCCCTGTTGGGGACAGAGAAACAGAGGTCACAGGAAGTTCAAAGTTTGAGCCAGGTTGACATCTGACCCACCACTGACCCTGACCCTACACTGACCCCTCAACCTTACCGTTATTACCCCTGACCCCTCAATACTATACTGACACACATCAGCCCCTGAGTTTATGCTCCAACCGCTATTCTGACTCATCCATTGAACCTCAAATGCCAAATGATCAGGCAACATTACACCCTAACTCCCACTCCAAAGACAACACCTCAACCAGAAGGGAAAGAAGGGACAAGGAAAACACAGCCATGACTCACTTGGGGTCCTGGGGCTCCTGGAGGTCCCTCAAAGTGCTGCCCCTGAAGGGAGAGATGAGTGTTAACCCCATCCTAGCCCAGATCCCTCCACCTCCTCCCAACCCAGGCCCCTTCACCTGTTCAATCACCGCCGGCTCTCCTTTCGCTCCTTTCTGTCCAGCTTCCTAGGGAAGAGGGGTGAAGGGGAAAGAGACGTGAACCCTGGAGCTCCATCATGGAATCCTCAGTGATCTAACTCCACACTCATCTTCTATGCACCATCCCCACACATGAAGGGCCCACCCATAGAGGTGCACCTGCCATCTTTTTTCAACCTGCATCAACCTGGTAAAGCCACATTGTGGTAAGGAGAGTGAACTCTAGAGCCTGGCTGCCCAGTCTTAATCCTAGATCTGCCACTTACTGGCTGAGTGATGATATTGGGCAATTACTTGCCTTCTCTGGTCTCATCTTTAAAGTTGCTAAGTGCATGACAATTGTATATGTTCTATATGATGATGAATAAAGTAAAGCAATGCTTGTTGTGTTGTTGTTATGTGCCGTTGAGTTGCACTGAGCATCAGTTAGTTATGATTATGCACCTCCTCTCCTAATACCAAAGCTAGAGCCTGGGCCCCCTTTTTTGTCTGTGTTATTTTCACTTATTTTATTTTTGTTGCTGTTGTTGAGACTATACACAGCAGAGCATATGGAAATTCAACAATTTCTACAGGTGCAATCCAGCGATACTGACTCCATTCTTCCAGTTATGCAACCATTCTCATTCTCCTTTTCTAAGGTGTTTCTCCTCCATTCACATGAACTCATTGCCCTCTAAGTTTCCTATCTGATCTTTCCAGTTGCTGTTGCCAGTTTGATCCCATAGACATAGATCTTAAACAAGCACAAAGCTCAAGACAGTCATTGTTCACTTGGTAGGCTAAAATGCTGTTTGATTTTAAGAAGATTTCATGGGATAATTTTGGTTTAAGGTTTAAATGTGTCCCCCCCCCCTGGGGCAATCATCCAGACTCTATGACTCCATAAACTCTGGATTCCATGAGAATTTGAAATTCTGTTTTGTATCTTCCCCACCCCCATTTCTGCACTATACTCTTAGGCAATTTCATTCAATCCTTTGGCTAAAGATACTATTTTATGACTAAAAAAAAAAAAAAAAAAAAAGAACTCACTGCCATCGAGTCGATTCTGACTCAGATTGACCAGAGCTGGGTTTCTAAGGCTGTAAATCTTTACAGAAATAGATCGCCCTGTCTTCCTTCTGTGGAGTGGCTGGTGGGTTTGAACCGCTGACCTTCTGGTTAGCACCAAATGCCTTATCCACTATGCCACCAGAGCTCCACTTTATGATTAATGAGTCCCAAGTCTCTATCTCCAGCCTAGACTAGAATCCTAAACTCCAGAATCTTCTAACAAACTACCCACTTCACATCTCCATCTGGATGCCAGAGAGGATCTCCAATTTAACACATGCAAAAAGGGATCCTGGATATCCTCCAGCTGTCCTTCCTTCAAAATTCCCCATCTTAATCATCGGTCCCACTGGGCATCTGCCTATTCATTACTGCATCTTTCTCCTCATCCAGTAGCAAGGCCAAAATGGAGCATGTCCCAAATCTGTCCACTTCTCTCCATCCCCCCACCACCACCCTCATCCAGGTCACCACCCTCTCTCACCTAACCAGTTGCCATTGAGTTTTCTAACTCATGGCCACCCCATGTGTCAGAGAACTGTGCTCTATAGGGTTTTCAATGCCTCATTTTTCAGAAGTAGATCACCAGGCTTTCTGTCTTTCTTCCTATAAGTGGACTCGAAACGCCAACCTTCAGGTTAGCAGCTGTGCTCATTAACTGTACCACCTAGGCAGTGATGCCTCTCGCCTAGTCTACAGGCTTCTCTGCTGCCCCTCTGGCTCCCCCTACAGCCCACTAGCCACTTAGCAACAGGAGGGAGCTTTTAAAAGCGCAAGTCACATCGTGTTCCATCTCAAGTGGCTTCCCATCATGCTGACACTGAAAGCCAACCTCATCACCCTGCCCACAGACCCAGCCATGAGTACAATGTCTGTCACACTGTCACTGCTCGATAAATATTTATCAACTGTACTGGAGCAGTGGGAAGGCATTCTAGGCAAGATAAACAGAAGTCAAGAAAGAGAATGTGACCCTAAGTGGCTCCAGATAGGAGACCCCTGCACCTAACCCAGTCACACAGACTCACAGGAAAGATCTGGAACTGAGTCCTTGATGACTGCTCAGCTGCCCGGAAGAAGGGATCTGTGGCGAGGCTACCTCTTTCTTCACTCTCCATGGCTGACTCAGTCTTCAGGGTCTCTGGCTCCATTCCATTGTCAGGGTCCAGGCTTCCCTGAGGGCATTGGGGCAGACCAAAATTTGCCCTTAACCTCTTCATTCTCTGCCACCAGTCCCCTGTCCACCCCAGCATTCCCTTCCAGCACTGTTCACTTCTCACCAACCTCTAGAATGGTGACATTGTGGCCAGTAGATGCAGTGGTGGTGATGACCAAAGAAGACATGGGAGTTGGAGGCAGAGCTGGAGATGGCATTACTGTCTTGAGGATGTCAGCAGAGGTCTGGAACATGGACAGAGAGTGCATGGGTCTAGGGTCTAGGGGTCAGGCAATCAAGACAAAAGAGAAGCAAAAGGAGGAGACAGGCCCTGCCCCTGGGAGCTTCCAGTCTAGGGAGAGGGATAGAGAATTCCCAAGGAACATCAGAGGGATGTAAGGTAGGGGTCTAGCCAGTGGAGGCAGACAAAGATGTGATGGCTGGACCAAAGAAGCCAGCAGGGGTGGTCATCATGCATGGAGAAGAGGCAGGGCTGAGCCAGGTCCTGGAAGTCTGGGAGGCAGAGGGAAGCTGGCTCCAGAGGCTAGTGGTCAAAGGCAAGGTCCAGCACTCAGGGCCAGACTCCCGGAAGCCTATCTCACATGTCTTATCCCAAGGCAGAGCTCAGTGGTCAACCAGCCGGGCTGCAGTCAGAGGAGTGGCAGCTCCTCCTCGCCTGGACAGCTGCAGAGGAACTGGGTCAAGGCAGGGAAGAGGAGGGTGATAGGGGCCCAGGTGAGGGGCCAGGGCCAAGGAGGTGGGTGGGGAGGAGCCAGTTACTCCTGGTGTTCATATCCTGGGCCTGAAATGATAACTTTTTGCCCCTCAAATGCTAAGAACAGAGCTAGTACAACCAGTGACATGCCGCCTAACCAAGGACACACCCCCAACCAGTGACTTCCCCTGGGGCCCCTAACCAACTAATGTCTCACATTAATGGCCCCTAAATAATTATTTCTATAACTAGTGACCATCTCAATTAATGACCCATATCCAGTGACCCCCACCCCACCCTCAGCACAACAAATAATCTCTATTGACTCCATTAAGGATCCCAAACCAGTGACCAACAATGTTGTTGTTGTTGTTGTTATGTGCCATCGAGTTGTCTTCAACGCATATCGACCCCTCCTTGGGTTTCTGAGGTGGTATCTCTATGGAAGTAGATTGCCCAACCTTCCTTCTGAGGAGTGGCTGGTGGGTTTGAACCTCCAGCCTTCTGGTTAGCAGTCAAATGCCTTAGGCACTACGCCACCAGAGCTCCCAGTGACCAACAATAAGGACCCCTAATCAGTAACTCCCACATAATAACCCACATCAATGGTCCCCCAAAATTACTTCCACAGCCATTGACCATCAGTGCTTCCTTGATTAATAACCCTCATCATTGGCCTCAACCAGTTACTCCCCAATGAATGAGCTGCACCAGTGACCTCTAATCAATTATTCCTCCAATCAGGGATCCCCTAACCAATGAATACCCTAAGTGACCCAACTAGTATCCCTAATCAGTGACCTCTAGGCACTAATTCTCCCATCCAATGACCATCAATTACCTCCTAACTAATAACCCTCCACCAATGACCCTTAATGAAGAAGTCCCCCAATTGATGATGCCCATGAATGACCCCAACCACTAACCTTAACCTAGTGACACCAGTAACGCCAACAGCAGCAACCATCAATGACCTTCAACAGTGAACTCCAACTAGTAAACCCTCAAGCATTGAGCTCAACCAATATCTCTCTACAGTGACCCCCAACCAGAAATTCCTATCAAGGAGGCCAAATAGTGCCACCAATTAGTGACTCATCCAGCAAATGAGTAACTCTTATCAGTGACCCCAACCAGTGAACTCCATACAATGGCACACTAATTAATGAACCTACCATCCCCACACCAGCTAAACAGTGACCCCCACCATGAACTCCCCAATAATCAGATACTTATTATACCTCATCCCTCTAGCCCCCCAGGACTGGGGGTGGGGTGGACAGAGATAGGGAAACTAATAAGATAGCACCAGCCCCACAGAGTCATCAGTTGGCTAAGATAAGCCAGAAATCAGAGATTGGAAATCAGAAGTAGGGACCATGCATGAGCAGCCAGAGGTCAGTGGGGATCAGAGGCCGGAAGTCAGGTGATCAAAGAGCAGAAGTGAGAGGTTGCTAGTTCCTTACCTGGTTCTCCAGGGAGGCAGGAGTTGGACTCAAGGTCACAGTTTCTTTTTTCTTCTTCTTCCTGCCTTTCCCCTTACGACCTCGGCCTTTCTTTTTCCCTTTCCCTTTGCCCTTCCGTCGAGGGGGAGGGGTTTCTGGTTCACCCTGGGGTGCCTGGGAAGCAAGCCTCAATGAGGTCCAGAGCCCTCTTCAACTTTCCATTCCCCCAGTGAAAGCTCCATTACTCAGGTCACCAGGGGCTACACTGGCAGGGTCACTGTTCCTACGCTTGAGGCCAGGACTCACTCAGCCCTGTGACCTGGGGTCAAGGTCAATCATGCATTCTACCCAGAGTCAGAATAACTCATTTACGTGACCTGGGTCAAAGGTCACTTGGAGTGGCCACAGACTGAGGTCAGAGGTCACTTAGCCCTATGTTTGGGGATCAGAATTCTTGAGACCTGGAGCCAGATGACAGCCAGTGGCCTCAGGTCAGCAGTAACACAGCCCCTCACTCACCACTGTGATGGAGGAGTCCCGGTCGTCACAACCAGGAAGGTATTGCTCACAGGCCTGGAAGGCAGCTTGAGGATCTGAACAAATCAGCAGCTCCTGAATCTCTCCCTGGGATGGGATGGGGGGGAAGAGGGTCACAGGCTGACTCTGACCCCCACTCCCCAACGCAGACGCCCACCTCCCAGCACCCTAGGTATAAGGAGAGGGCAGCCTTGTTACAGCAATCCTTCTACCCCCTGAAACTGAGAAGACAGGTTCTATCAGGGTCACACAAAATCACAATCACAAACCACACCCCCCAACATGCTCACATCAAGGCCACTTTTGTTGCTTTACTCTCAGGCACATAATAAGCTCTTACTATGTGTCAGGTGCCCTTCCATGTGCTGGGGATAAAGAGGGGAACAAGATGGATGAGGTTCCTGGCCTCCTGGAGGTGATGTCCATCACAATCATGCATAGTACAGTCTCTACCAACAGTCACCACTACATTAAAGACACACCTGCCCCACAGCCACAGTCACACAACAGCATGACTTGCTGACACCAATGCCATAACCACACCCCATATAATCACACACCATCACAATAACCACAGCGCTCACTATAGACCAACCACTCACAGCCATCCCACCCCAACAGGCAAAGGCCTCTGTCTCACACCACAACCTTATCCTCCTGCAACAGGCCAAGTGCACACTATTACAGCTTATAGTCAGTTCCATGGCTCTGCAACTTTACAACCTCACACCCTTGACAATGCACTCAAGCATGGTCCTCCCTTCCCTCAGCTTCCTGGAGCTAAGTTGAAGCTTACTCTCCCCTTCCCCAATCCATCCTCCAGATTCAGGTCATGGACAACACTCCCTCTTGTCCCCTGCCTCAGTTTCCCCTATCATTAAGCCTCTACCTCAAAAGTCTCCTCCCCCAGGTCCTGGGTCCCCAGCACAGTGAGTCCAGCTGTGCTGATGGATCGAAGTCCTTGGCCCAATATGGGGGGCTGAGGTTCACAGTCAGCCACCAGGGTCACCATCCTGCCATCCACACTGACTGCCACACGGTGCCACCTGCAGAGGGACAGCCTCAGTGATGGTGCTTTTCACCCCAACCCTCCTTGGACCCCCACCCTCTCCCTACACTCACCTGCCATCTGTAAGGTTGACTTGCTGAGGGAAGTGACTGAAAGTGTCACCTAGGAGGCCCAGCCCTGGCCCTAGCACCAGTCCCAGCTGCCGGGCACCTATCTCATCGTAAATGGACAGAAGGATGGATTGGACGCCTGGCTGGCCCCGCAGAGTGACCAACACAGAGAAGTTCTCAGGAAAGTGTCCATCTGGTGGGCAGAGGGAAAAGGGCAGTTCAGGGGGCCTGGGCCATGCTTCCATGATGACCCCAGCCTCTTGCACCCCGACTCACCTGGAAAGAGCTCCCACGTGGGAACACTGAGTGTGCTGGCCTTCCCCACCCTGAATGCCCGGTCGCCCTCCGGGGTCCTCTGAGGGCAGAAGCCAGGCCCCTCAGGGAGCCCCGCCTGGCCCCCACGCACACCCAGAGCCTTCAGCACATCCACAGGGTCTGCTGCAGAGAGAAGCAGGGGGTGGGCAGTTAGAGCAAGCCCAGACTCCATGTGAATGGCTCAGGTTAGGGGGCTCAGTACCCTTCCATGTTTGTGGCTCAGAGAGAAGGAACAGGCCTGGGACCAGCATCCCCCTCTCCCCACCCCGCAGCTGTTCCGGCCTCATCAGACTGTTGACTCCTGTTTTTTTCCCTTGCTTTTTGGTGAGAAAAAAAAAAGCTGACCTAGTTCTGGGATGAATCAAAGCTTCCTGGCTGAAGCCCCAGTGCCGAGTGTCCCCATCTCCCCACTCCTCCGCACCGGCTCTCTGGGGCTGCTTCCCGAGGCTTGAGCCCCCTTGCCAGGGGAAACTCACTTGGAGAGGAAAGTTTCCTTGTGTGAGTTCTTCCCCTCACCTCCTTCCCTCAGGCCTCCTCCCTCTGACTATCATCTTTTCTGACCTCCTCCCTCTGAACTTCTTCATTCCCCCTCTAGCCTCCTCCTTTGACCACCATCACCCATGACCTCCTCCTTCTGATCACCACCTCCCCTGACCCTTTGACCACCTTCTTGACCATTATCACCTACAATGTCCTCTCCCTGACCAGCACAACCTCCAGTATCCTCCCTCTTAACTCCCACCTAGAACCTCCCTTTGACTACTGCCACTTTGCATTTCCTCCCTCTGACCACTCTTTCCCGGACCTTCCCTACTGACTTCTTCTACTGCCCCCACCCCATCACCCTCTCTGACCTCCTTCCTCTATGTGACCCTGAACTCCTCCCTCTGAGCCTCCCCTTTGACCTCCTTTCCCTGATTTCTCTGATCTCCTCCTCCGGCCATCTCCCTCTGACTATCCCCTGACCTCCTCCCTCTGCTTATCCCAGTCTCCTCTGACTGACCACATTGTGACCTCATCTGACCACACTCCTGACTTCCTCTTTCTGACTCTCTCTGATAACCCTTTGACCTCCTTCCTCCGACCCTCTCCCTCTCTCATCATGCAAAAGAAGGAACTTGTCTGGCCCAACCAGATCCGAATCCAGGCCAGCCCACCAGCTCAGCCCCAGGCAGCCAGGCCAGCTCTAAGTGGAACCACATGGCCTGGGCAGGGGTGGGTGGGGGCTTCCCCAGGGCCCGAAGCCCCTGCCCGATCCTCACTTCCCCCCACCAGCCTCCTGTCCCACTGACCCCCTGACCCAACCTCTTGGCAAGACCCAGATTCTGCAGAATCTGCCATGACCTCACCCCTGGAGGTGGCTCTGCTGACCTCACCACTGGGAGCAGGGGTAGGGGGCCAGACTCGGGGGAGACAGGGGTTCAATGGCAGGACCCTATCCCAGTTCTCCCTGCATCAGGCCCCTCCTACTCCAGACTCCCCAGAGCCCTGCTCTAACCTCTGTTCCCTCTTGCTCCAACATCTTTCAGCTCTTTCTCCATCTTCTCCCCCTCCCCGCCCCCTCTTTGTCCCACTTTCTCTATCCGTCTTTCCAGACCTCTCTCTGTGTCCAACTCGGAATCTCCCAGTCTCAGTCTCTCCTGCTCTCGCTCTCACTCTCTCTGTCTCTGGTTCTTCTATCTCTCTCTTTGCAGGTTCCTATCTCTGGGTCTGTCACTCTCTATCTCTATCTCTTCCTGTGTATTACTGCCCCGCCCAACTCTCTTCACTCCCCGCCCACCAGACCCAATCTCTAATTGCTTGTTCTGTGACCGGGCTGTCATTAAGAGGTATTCAAGTTAGACTTCCCTGGGCTGAGATCTAGACTCCCAGGCTCTGTTGACCACAAGGGTCACTTCCCCATGGAATTATTATCTCCAGGCAAGTGCTACAATCCATGACCTGACCCAGCGTGGCTCTCCCAGGCTCTCCCTACCCAGGCCCTGGCCTCTATGCAGTGGGAAGGGGTCTCCCCTCAACTACTGCTCATTCACACATAAAAAGTCCTTCCCAGCATCTAACCCAAATGCCTCCTGCTTCACTCTTACGTCCCTTCAGTAATGACCTTTCAGAAACTGACTGCCCTTTCTTTTCATTGCTGGCTCTGTGACAAGGACACACACAAGAAGCATTGAGTGCTGCCTGCAGGGCCGGGGGTAGGGGTCTGTCAGAGACCCAGCTGCTCTTCCCTCACAGACTTTCCCCTGTCCTGGCCAGAGCCCCAGGGAGACACTGGGAGGGGTCCGAGATGCAGAAAGAGACAGGCAGGGATTAGGCTGCAACATGGCAGGGTTCCCCCAGGTGTGTGGGACCACATAGGCACAAGTGTATGTCCAGATGTGTGTGTGTGTGTGTGTTATTGTATAAGTGTGTGAGGTTGTGCAAGGATGTGTGACTCTGAACGAGCCAGAGGATGGCTGGGTGTAGAGTTTGTCAATGTGTCAATGTGTGAAAGTATTAGACCACTGATGATGAGATTAGGGGCAGTTGCTTGAAAGTGTGACTGTGACCAGGAGTCCAGATCCTGGCAGTGAGCTGATGGTCTAGTGGGTTAATCTGTGCCTGTGATGTCCGGGGCTTGTGATGGGGGCGGGTGGTTATGTGTGAGAGTGTGATCAAGCCAGGGAATGGGCAATTGGCTGTGAATCTTGACCCTTCGTGCCTTTGGGAGCATGTGGGGAAAGCCTGAAAGCGTAGGAAGATGACAAAAAGCCGTGACCACGTGCTGGGTGACTGATGGGGTTGTGTGGGCACAGACATCGGTGTTTAACATTCCTGGCGTCCCAGAGGACTTATATTCTGAGTGGATGTCTGAGACTGCACACCACATGCATGTGTGAGCGTGGGAATGGCACCGGCTAATTTGGGATTACTCAAGTGGGCAGGCACCTCCCTGGACTCAAGAGAAAGCTACAGAGAGTGATGGTGATGGTGGTGGATGCTCCTGTTGGGTTTTCCAGGAGGACCTGACCTGGAATCTTTCAGATAAGGGAAGCCCTCTCATCCACCTCCTGAAGGATCACAACCACCCCTCACTCCTAGGCGCCCCCCACCTCGAATCCTGCGGGGCGTGGCGTGGCGTCCGGCCAAATGCACGCAGCTGGGAGTGCGTCAGCGCTGACTCACCGGTCCAGAGGCCCCCGGGACCCTGGGGGGCCCCTGAGAAATTCTTCGGGAAAAACACCCGAGGCTCGCGCAGCTGGGGAGAGTAACTTCCACTCTCGCCCCCTCCCGCGATCCGCCCCGCCCTGAGCCCCGCCCCGCCTCGCCCCTCACCGCAGGCCTCCCGAGGCCCTGTCCATGGCCCTGTCCATGGTGCTGATCCCGGCTCTGGGGAACACAGGGCGGGGGCGGGGGCGAGAGGGGGAGGGGAGCCTGGACGGAGGGGAGGAGATGGAGCGGGGCATACAGGGAAAACGGAGGTGAAGCCACTAGGGGAGACGCAAAGGGGGCTCTGGACCTCTGAACAGCCATCTCTCATACTCTACCCCACTCACAATCACCCTCAGAATCAGCCACTCACGTCCTCATGGGCAATTAGTTACTGCCCCAAATCACAACTGCATCCTTACAGGGTCACCCCGAACCACACAATCACAGCTGTAACATATCCACGCTATTATTCTCAAAATCAGCCACACAGACAGACCCACTTGCGCATCCACAATGCACAACCACATATCCTCCTGTTGTTGTTGTTGTTATGTGCCCTCGAGTCAAACCTGACTCATAGCGACCCCTCCTTGGGTTTCCGAGGCAGTATCACTACAGAAGCAGGATTGCCCAACCTTCCTTCCGAGGAGCTACCAGAGCTCCCACACACCCTCCTAGGGATAGCCAATCACTCATATGCATGCAGTCACCAACTCCTATACCCTAGCACAGACGCACAATTTCATTCCAAATTTTGTACAATGGCACACACACACACCCCTATAAATTGCATCCATTCCCACGTACCCGTCTAGTAAAACACAGCCGCCACACGTTTCCCCGCCCTTCGCAGCTGTCACACCCACAAATCTGCCAGAGTCGGACACTGAGTCCTCACATCACACTGCGGCCACAAACACTCGCCCATAGCGACCCACATGCCCCAGTTCCGACTCTACCCTGCCTTTGGGGCCTCGCTGGATCCTGCACTTGGGGCCCTGTCGCCTCCCAGCTCACCCGCGTGCGTCCGGGGCAGAAGCTGCAGCGCGGCCATGAGCAGGCAGAGGCCAGCCCGTGACTGGCCCAGGCCCTGCAGACTCCCCATCCTGGCGGGGCCTGCGCGCAAAGCAGGCGGCCGGACTGGGCAGCTGCGGGGCTCGGAGACTCCACAGGCTCGACCCACTCACTTCGGCGGCCTGCTCCACTCAGAATCGGCGGGAGACTGCCCGAGACCCCGCCACGGCCTCGCCCTGCGCGGGGCGGGTCCGCTGGGGGAGCTGACAGCTGGTGAGGGAGTTGAGAAAGTTTGTGCCGAGCTCTGATTGGCCAGCTGGAGTGGAGCCCCGGGCCAGGAGCTGGGCTGTTCTTGCCCCACCCCACAGTGGAGGAGGAGAACGGCTTCCGCCCAGCTCTAGAATTTGGGGTCCCAGACTCACTTGAATGAGGTTTTAGCCTCATTCAAGGCTTCAGCCTCCATCCAGGCTCTGGAATTAGGAAGTACGGCTTTATACCAAATCATTTCTGTCTCACCCATGCCCCCAGATGGGGTCCTAGCCTCACCCCAAACTCTCACCCACCTGCCTTATCCCAATCCCATAGCCTCACAATAGGACACATCAGTCTCACCCTAAGCCCTGACCCCAGGCTTCAAAGTAAGGGGTTTCCATTTCACCTCAAACCTCACCCCAGATCCCACCATAGGGTTTCCAGCTTTACCCCAAACTCATTTCTCTACCCAAATTCCAGAATTGGTTGTCCTGACCCATCCCCAAACCTTCACCACAGATTCCAAAATCCAGCTCCCACCTTCATCCCAAACTCTCAATCCTCAAAACATCCCTAACCTTCATCTCCCCCATTCGGGCCCCAGAGGGACACCCCAGCCCTAATTCCAAATCCTAACACATGCCCTCAACACATGGGGGAGTCTGGCCTTTCCCCAAAGCAAGGCAACGGGAGCAGCGGGGTGGATTCCTGCCATTCTAGAAGAGAACCTCACGCGGAGCCCCCAGCAGGAAGAGAGGCCCCAGGGGGCCAGATAGCTGTCTGTGCAACTGAACAGGAGCCGACATGCAGGGCAGGGTGAAGGCACTTCCCCAGGGAGGAGGAACCATAGGGCGTATCCTGGGTCCTGAACTGCACCCGCCCCAAGGGGAAGAGGGGAGAAGCGGGGCAGAACCTCCCTCCCAGCTTCTGGCTCCTCAGACAAAGAGTTTCTGTGTCCCTGGAGAAGAGGGGGCGTGGCCCCAGCTGGCCTGAGGGGGAGATGGGGGCCCCCAGCGGGATGACAGGGAACCTCCCCAAACAACTCTTTCTCCCTCCCTGGGGAACTTCCGAGGCTGAGACTTCTCCTACTAAAAGGCTCTCACAAAGTCCTTGGCCTACTCACGCAGGGACGTTCTTCCTGTAATCTATCCTGGTTTTAGGACAGTGCTAGTCCCATTCCTTCTTTGAAAGGATTCTTTTGGGACCACATTCTCTGTCACCCTCTCTCCTTCTCTCCCTCCAGTCAGAGATAATCCTCACCCGGAGTATAGACAGCAACAAAATGCCCCCCCCCGCCCCTCACTCCCTGAAACTACCCCCAGCTATGAATAACTTACAATCCTAATTAAAATCTCCCAGAGTGTTGCAAGTGGGGAGAAGAAATTTGACAGATGGAGGAAATGGGAGGCACAAAAGCGAAGGGGCTCCCCTAGGTACTTGCCCAGAGTCAGCCCACAGTCGAGGTCTCTGGGGCCCCTTCACGCTGCAGGTGAGCAGTTGGCACGCACTTAGGAGGGACTGGCTGAACCGAGGGCTGAAGCGAGAGTCAGGCACTACCCAGCGGGTCACGCGCCCAGGAAGGGGATCAACATGGCCGGCGCGCCCCGGACAGTGCTGATCTCTGGCTGCTCCTCAGGAATTGGCCTGGAGCTCGCAGTGCAGCTGGCCCTCGACCCCCGGCAGCGCTACCAGGGTAAGGGGCTCTGGGCGGGGCTTGGAGGAGCAGGGGTGGGCGTGACTCCAACCCATCCGCTCCAATTGCACGTGTGGGACTTGGAAGGCCCTCCGAACACACGTAGGTCTCCCTCCACGGTGAATCTTCCTTTCATCCAACACAGATATCTTGAGCACCCACTGGGTGCCAGACACTGTTCTAGGTGCTGGAACAGAGCTATGAACTAAACAAAAATCCCTGCCCTCGATAAAGGTGGAGCGCGAGGGAGGGGCAGGTAATAAACAAAAGAATTGATCGTGCGTCTGGCAGTAATAAGTGCTAGAAGCAAAATAAAGCAGAGAAGGGAGCTTGATGAAGGGTGGGTGGGGATATTTTTAGAAGGGCTTGTCCTCTGGAAAGGCTTCCTGGTGAAGGTCTCTGGAGCATTTCCCTGGACGGAAGATTCGCTCCCCCAGCCCGCACCAATCACCAGAAGACTGCTCCAAGATAAGCCTCTTATGTGCCCTTGACCTTAGGGACTTAGGAGAGGCCTCTAGGCCTAGGGACTTGCCCTCCCACAGCTCTGGAGAAAATTGCTCTGATCCGCACCCCAAACCATGAGAACCCCTGACCCAGAGCAGCCTGGAGTCTGAAGTGGGCAATGGGCTATTGCTGAAGAGGAGGTGGCTGGGGAGGGTGCCATGGCCCTAGTTGGCAGAGCGCTTCTCCCAGCCCTCTGTCTTAAGAGACGCCCAGCTGTGAGTGAGTGAGTGAGCGAGAACTGGCGTTCCAAGAACTTGTGCTTGGATGTGTCCCTGGGGGTGAATGAAGGGGCGCAGAAAACTGCTAAAGGCTTATGTTTATTGGGTGCTTCCCACGTGCCAGGCTTCCCATGAAGTGTTTTGCATCTAATTAACCATTTCATCTTCACATCACCCATTTGAGGTGGGCACTCTCATTTGCCCTGCTTTAGAAATGAGAAAACTGAGACACAAACTGCAAAGGTATTTGACCAAGATCACCCAGTTGGACAGTGGCAGAGCTGGGGTTTGAACCCAGGCAGCCCAGCCCCTGGGCCCACGCTCAGCATCGCCATGCTATACTGCAAGTGGATGCATGCGTCCCATTAATCTACACAGCGCCTGAGGCAGACAGACCTACACACAGTACACATGTGTCACTAGGAGTGCGCATGTGTAATTGTGGGTGCACACATGGGGGGATGTAAACATATATACGGTGTGTGCACAGACAGAGTGCACCTGGTAAGGCCGAATCGAGAGCACAGGCTCAGCCCTCTGACAAATCCAGGTTCAAATCTCAGTTCTAACACTTGCTAGGAGGGAACAGACAAGGAAACTCACTTTGCTAAGCCTCAGAATAGACAAATCTGTCCTGGTGGAAGTGCAGCCAGAATGTTCCTTGGAGGCGAGAATGGCCAGACTTTGTCTCACCTGCTTTGGTCATGTTGTCAGAAGGGACCATTCCCTGGAGAAGGCTATCATGCTTGGTAAAGTGGAAGGTCAGTGAGAAAGGGGAAGGCCCTCAATGAGATGATTGATACAGTGGCTGCAATGATGGGCTTAGGCCTAGCAAGGTTGTGAGGCTGGTGCAGGATCAGTCAGTGTTTCATTCTGTTGTACACAGATAGGGTCACTGTGAGTCGGAATCAACTTGATGGCTCCTAACAACAACAAGCCGCAGTTTGTTCATCTGTATAATGGGGATAATAAGTTTACTTATCCATCCTTATTACTATTGTTGAATAACAAAATTTATGGCTTAAAACAACTGCAATCAATGTTCATTGCAGCATCACTCACAATAGTCAAAAGGTGGAAACAACCTGAGTGTCTATCACTAGATGAACGAATAAACAAAATGTGGTATATCCATCCAATGGATGGTAACCGTCCATGAAGAGAAAGAAAGTTGTGATGTGTGCTATGACATGGATAAACCTGGAAAACATTATGCAGAGTGCAATAAGTCAAACACAAAAGGCCAAGTGCTTTTTGATCCCACTTATTTGACTGCTAACCAGAAGGCTGGCAGTTCAAACCACCAGCTACACCTTGGAAGGAAGACTGGGCAATAATCTCTACTTTCATGGAGATACCACCTCAGAAACCCAAGGAGGGGTCACTATGAGTCGAATCAACTCGAGGGCAGTGAAGTATTTTTTTTTAAAATATATATGAAATATCTAGAATAGGCAAATGCAGAGATAATTTGATTAGATTAGCAGGGGCTAGGAGGGAAAATGAAGAGTTATTGCCAAAGGGGTATGGAGTTTTTGTTCATGATGATGAAAAACATTTGGAAATGGATAGTGGTGATGGTTGTATGATAAAGTATCATTAATATCACTGAACTGTACACTTCAAAATGGTTAAAATGGCAAGTATTCTGTAACATTATGTTTTCCTATTGTTAGTTGCCATTGAGTCGATTCTGACTCACCGCAACTCGACGCATCATAGAGCAGAACTGCTCCACACAGTTTTGTTGGCTGTAATCCTAATGGAGGGAGCTCTGGTAGCATAGTGGCTAAGGCATTTGACTGCTAACCAGAAGGCTGGCGGTTCAAACCCACCGGCCACTCCTCGGAAGGAAGATGGGGCAATCTACTTCCGTAGTGATACTGCCTTGGAAACCCAAGGAGGGGTCACTATGAGTCAGGTCTGACTCGATGGCACATAACAACAACAACAACAACAATCCTAATGGAAGCAGATCACTGGGCCCTTCTTCCATGGTACTGTTGTTGTTGTTGTTCTGTGTCGTCGAGTTGGACCCGACTCACAGCGACCCCTCTTTGGTTTTCCAAGGTGGTATCACTACAGAAGTAGATTGCCCAACCTTCCTTCCGAGGAGTGACTGGCAGGTTTGAACCGCCAGCTTTCTGGTTAGCAGTCAAGTGCCTTAGGCACTATGCTACTAGAGCGCCACAGTACTAGATGGGTTCAAACCACCAACCTTTCAGCTAGCATTTGTGCACAAGCTGTTTGCATCACCTGTAGGAACTCTGGTGGCATACTGCCTAAGGCATTTGATGCTAACCAGAAGGCTGGCGATTCAAACTCACCAGCCACTCCTCGGAAGGAAGACTGGGCAATCTACTTCCGTAGAGATAAAACCTCAGAAACCCAAGGAGGGGTCACTATGAGTCGAATCAACTCAAC